AGACCTCATATCCAACATGCGCAACAAGTACGGCGAAAACTTCACCATTGTGATGGGTGATTGGAGCGACGCCGGTCGAACTGCGAGATTTCAGACCTCATCAAAGACGAAAGGTTGGCGCACCCTCTTTAAGCGGAACAGGATCAACTGCTTCCTTCTCGACGAGTACAAGACCTCATCTGTCTGCCCTCGCTGTTTGGCCTCATCTGATGACTTCCTTGAAAAGGACTTCAAAACACGACCTCATTCAAGACCTTGGCGCCGTCGCGAAGGCAAGATTGAAAAAGTCCATGGATTGCTGGGTTGTACCAACCCTAACTGTCAGCAAGCCTGGACGATGCGCTACTGGAACCGAGATACGCTGGCAACCTGTAATATGCTGACAATCGTGCAATCAATGTTGGATGGGCACGGTAGACCAGAGGTGTTCAGCAGGGGTGTTCCAGCCGTAGCGTAGATTGGTTAGATTAGCTTATCCGAGCTGGTTGTCGCCGGTTCAATTCCTGGTGCGGGTGCTAGTGCCAATACCCATCGGCTCCGCACTAGATATAAACGTTTAACAGAAGACCACCATAGTTCATGTTTGAATATCACATGGACTCTTAGTTGCAGCACTACCCTATTATTGTATTCTGCATTTAACCTTCGTCATCAGCCCATGTATTTCTACTTTAAAGGAATGTGCTTGAAGAATAGGGATGCCAATAGACCGGCACAGGTAATGGCGGCAATGATGTAGAAAATGCTACGGAAAGCCTAAGCATTTCCACGCTCCTAGAAGAAGAATACCAACAAATGAATTTTTGCTTTTAAAAAAAGATGAAGGGAGTTTACCGGAGAAGTAGGGTAGCGAATCTGCTAACTTGTGACTTTAGTCAGGAGCGAGCATGTTTGGAGAACAATCAAGTCTTGTTCTGGTGGGCTTGTTGCGCCAAGAGGTAATGCATCTGCGCATGCTTTTTTTTTTTGGCGTAGATGTCGTCCGTTAAATCTGCCCCAGTGGTAAAAAGTGGTTTGATACTGTATGTAATTCTGTCTCCCATAACAGCTTTAATTATCTAATGAATCAGACATTATTAGAAAGTAGACCAAATCCAAGTATGTGGAAGGAACCCGAATTTGCGGTATCAGTAGGAGTGCCGTGGCACACCGCCAAGTTGTTCCATCCACTCGTCCTCGTCAAGTGAAATCTTCCATTATATCCATTATATAACAAAGCATCACCTCTCTGTGTAGCATGCTTGCAGCCATATGCGAAAGGAGAAAAAGGCAAAATGAAGAAGACCGGATTTGCTGCAATTGCAATACTGTGAACCGCCACAATACCAAATAGACCTGCCAACGACGTATCTTCGCTTTCACATTGCTCTCAGCTATGGTGAATGAATGTGGAGGTCCCTGTCAGGCAGATAGACATGTCAACATCGAGGACACTACATTCAGCATGAGATACATGTCTGTTCCTTCATAAACAATTAATATCCAGAAGAAAACGTCATATTGGGTTTACTTCCGATCAGGAGCAGAAAAGGTACGGGAAGTCCAATGCGCGTTCCGACAGTGGTAAACCGTCGCCGTATGCGTTATAAACGACTGATCTTCGTACTAATAGGGGTAGTACTAGTAGCTAGTACTGTAGGCAGGGCGGAATGTTCCCGTCACGGACAGAAACGTCGACCAGCTGGTCTTTGATACGGAGCCGCTGAGCAATGAGAAACCTTCGGGTTTTGATGCTCATGTCACGGAGTGCGGAACGCCAGCTTTGCTGGCAGATTATTTTCGCACTCGTATAGAAATTCTGTTCAGATGGCGAGGTCAGTTCCAGGGATCGACCAGCCCTCGCAGACTTGTTGGACATTAGAGACACCACAAAATGATATAAAGTTTAGTGAATCCAAGGCAGAAATTAAACTGCTCAGCAAAAGTCTCCTCACCAGTCCTGGGAATGGTCAGGTTTGCTTACCGACCTGATGTACCAACTACCAAAAAATGCAGGCCGGACTATCCCAAGTTGAGCCCAAATTTGGCTACGACGCAGTCGTCTCAAAAATGCTTCTCGAATGCCAAACCGTCACTGATGAGGCTCGACGGGAGCGAAGTTATCCAATCATGTCAAAGTACACAGCAGCGATGTTTCTTACGTTCGCGTACGTTGTTCGGAAACATACATGGCCATCGAACTTTGCGAAGGCATATTGATGGGTAGGTTGACGGTTGAGGCGAAACCGGTGCTCAACACCAAAAGAGTGCGGGCACATAGAGTTACATATCTGGTCTGTGATATGGCTTATCATAAGCATCTGACAAAGAATGCTGACTCGCTCCACGACCTTTTTCTTAGATGCTCCTACTACACCAGGCGTATGCTAACCGTATCTGCGTGTTGTTAATCTTCCACTACAGGCTGGCTCATCTAGGGCACTTTGACCCATTCCCAAAGAACATCCTCAATTGTGCTTGCTTTGTTCGCTTTCTCCCAAAGATCGCTTACTAGGAGAAACGATCCTTCTCCATGCTCGCCAACTTTGTTCCGCATCTGAATAACGTGACGACGACACTTTTTTATTGTTGTGGAAGGGCAAGCTCCAAACTTCCTTGATAGCGGATATCTCTGGCTCCCAAGCTCCCATAATCAGAAAATGTTTACATCCGACACTTTAGCTCTGGCGGAATAGCAGCTCCGGAAGATTCCAAAGATTTTGGGAAGTCTCAAGGTCGCAGGACTACAATTTCTCAAGAAGGAGCTGGAGGAATCTACTTGGGTGCAGCTATCATCATCTTGTAAATGGTGCTCATAGAGTTGTGCCACTGGTCTACATCCGTCACCGGAAAGAGCCGCGCAATAGAACGTCATTGAAGATGATTCCATCCCTCCTCGCTCGAAATGCGAGCCACCATACGCCTATAACGAAGCAGAAGGAGCCTGCCCCCCTATTGAGCTTTTGAGCAACTTGCGAACGTCACCCGCCGTCATTATTGCAGGCAACAGTCTCAATGCTCTTCGAGCTGACTCGGTTACGTCGATCTGGAAACCCCACCAGTCACACCAGTCACTGCCCGGACAATGACAGATTCGTCGAATCAGTCTCCCAGATCCGTCTCGACGACATACTGTGTGTCAACACTGTGCAACACCGAGAACTTCCCTGGAATCGTCCTGACGATAATGGAGGTCCCGACTGAAGAGTTAATGCAAATATTTCTGGAATATGAATCACTTGCGCCCCAGTCAGGGAATTGTCCGAAACGGATGGAGGGAGTGAATTTACAGGATGATTCGTGTCGACCTTTCATCGGATTATTATATGTCAGTGATGAAGACGGACTGCGCTGGTATCATTTGACCTTCTTTGAATTGCAGAGATGTCGGGTTGTTTTTGGGTGGGACAATGGACAGTGACGATATATGACAACCGTCGTATCTAGATATTCCATATCTAACCTGAAAGGATGTCGACTGGATGGTCGATATACATAACCAAATACAATGCGACATCAATTCGTCAGTGCATATCATGTAGAGATGTATGTACTCACAGTTACGTACAAGTTGGAGTTCCCCTCAGATCCCACCTGAAGACGCCGATGAAACGCATAGGAGTCTTTGTCTATGAGTGACTTGCACACCCGACCTTGCAGTAGACTATCCTATCCTTGGGCAGAACAAGTACTTGACATCTTGTGCTGTCTGTGCATACGATATTCGTCTTCATCTCGTTTGGCAAGGACCGTGGGAAAATCAAGATAAACAAATGACTCGCTTCACGCGTTTACATAATCTTGACTCGCGCGCCGTGTGCAAGGGGAATGAACGCACGCCAGGAGGTCTGCCAGGAGGTGGAAACGACGACGATGATTGGGCCTTCATGGCGTGCTCAGAAGAATGACGTACGCAGGATAACGTTATCTTCCGCCGAGAATTCCGAATGCAAAAAAAAAGCGCAGTCCCCCAGGGTTATAAAAAGGCACCCTCTCCCACATCCCCCCACTCTCTCTTCATCTTTCCTTCCGCCTCGGGATGGCATAAAACTCGCTCCAGCCATGGGTACTCGGTCCAAAAGTATACCGGATAACTTTAAAGGCCGTTGTAGTAATGCAACGTGATAACCTCTTTGAGGTGGGCGCCTGGGACTGATCGTTTGCGCGCGCCAGAAATGGAAGGAGCAACGACTCGCCGGAGCCTTCGGGTGATGATGGCATCCTCTTCGGGGGAAGGGCCTGTGATAAAGGATGAAAAGGATGAAAATGAGAAAATGATAGCAAACCAAACTCCCTTTGAAATCCTATTCAGACACTGTATTCTCAGTGGTTCTTCCAGTCAGCAGCTTACGCGATATCGCCTACAAGGCAACGCTCACTTTGTGGAACAATGACAGAAGAGCCATGATTTATATTGTAAGCATCCATTCGGGGTTAGGTGAAAAGTCCAAGGATCCGAAATTTCATACAATGCTACCGATTTCATCCTCTTCGGGCGCATCAACTACGTTGACACGGCTTATAAGCCAAGATGCGTAGATAACCGACGCCTCTAAAAGATCATGATCTGTCAGCAGCCAACAGGCTGCAAACATCCTCCCTTGGACAGCGAATCAAGAGTTCGTGTAGGTAGCACAAGGACTTGGATGATGTGATTATCGTGCATAATGCGCGCAAAATGCAAGCTTTCGACTTGTGGCCAACAGCATACTGCTAGTTCCAAGTCTGAGGCGGTCAAACTTTGATTCTTGGGGCCATATGCGCAATTCTCATCGAAGCAAATCTAGTCCTTGGTGACCTACCCTGCGTCGTGCCGATGCTGTAAATGTCTGGGTCCTGTTTGGCCAACTTGTCCATCAGTAGTTTGGCCAAAGTATCAGAAGGAAATCCGCCCGGGAAAAAATCCTAGGATTATTGGTGACATCTAATTAAATATCCTACACCATTTATTATTCTAATTACGTATTGTCATAGTGATCTTCCTTAGTTAACAAAAAGTAACTAGATATTAGGTCCATGCTTCAATTAATTTGTTCTGCCACAATTCTCGGCAAATAGGTTCCTGTGAGTATATCCGGGGGTACCGCCTGTATCTCGGCTTTGCGGCCATAAAATAGTATGCGAGATAAGGCAGTACTAAAATGTCCAAAAAAAATCAAAGCAAACTCATTTTGACGGCATCTAAGCAGCGATGCACTATACCGTATATCTGAAAATTGTTTGATGTAACCTCTTCTTAGCATTCCCAAAGCTCGACGCCGATCCCGTTCCGTCAAAACGAGCAGTTTGTTAAAATCGATCTGGTAGTCGGTGTTGATCCAGTCTCTTGGGCGGAGACCGATCCAGCGGATGGTAGGGCAGGCGAGATTATGAGAGTCGAATGCCATTGCCTGCGCGATTTGGTATGATTTCAAACTACCAATAGTGTATGATTTCTTTGAAAACCCCTGTCACCAATTCCATACCTTAGAGCCGAACTTATAGCACAAGTAAATTTCAATTCCATGGGGATCGCAATCTACAAGTGCCAAAACCGGAAGGCGTTCGACCGGTCCATCCTCCACCTGTGCACGTTCTGGACTGTCAGAAACATCAAACGTCTCGATTTTCACTGAATCTCCAGGTTGTTCTGCAGCGGCCAGCTCTACCAATTCAGTTTCAGTCTCCAAGTCGACATCATTGTTGACGATCGAATCCGCAGATGCACCAATTATATATGGCTCCTCCAATGGATCATTGATAACCGCCGGCCTCTCGCCCTCCATTTCTAACAGGTCCGTTGCACCCTGTTCGACTCGAAATTCGATGTTCAGAGAATCAGGGTCATGAAAGTCAACAAGATCCGGCCTATTCGGACGAGAATGATCGAACTGGTGTGCGTCCATGATCGTGTCCCGTTCCCATGGCTTCGGTAAATTGCCATCATCGAGATTCGGCGTCTTGATATGTGTACGTTCAATTTCAGATAATCTTTTGACAAGTCTTCGTGTTGATACGTCAGGATATCCTTTCCCCTATTCACAACGATCCTAAGTAACATCGTGGTTGACACAGTGCACGGTGCGTCCGTGGCTCATACCGTTATCAAGATACATGGACCATGTATGGCAGCAAATCGGTCAGCAACGACTGTGCGGAATGTTGCCTCCTTTTCGATCACCAGCACAAACTTGGCTGCTGTTTCCAAATGTAGAGCCATGGATCAACTAGTTAAGGACTTAACAAGTAGTGGACAAATAATCAAGAACAAAAAAAGAGCCTTGTTTGTAAGGATATGAGATATTTGTTCAGACGTAGGAATAAGAATTCCCTATCAAAGGGACAATGGTCGTCAAAGTTGAAGGTCAGAACTAATCAGAATATCACCCTACCTGATGGCCCCCTTGAAGACAATCTACTATAGTTCTGTCTACCATATGTAAGCGCAAGTCCCCATGCACCAGACCTTTGGACGAGGCAACCTGAAAAATTTCAAGTTGATGCTTGCGTGCGAGTCAGTGTACAACGATGACCACAGTTTAACCTTACCATATTGAGGCAATGCCTTTGAACTGCGAAGGTACATGCAAGATCTTCGATTGCCTACCAATCTGAGAGGTTTGTCACACGTCTTCGCATAATCACATGCATCACAATCCCATTACCTGATCTACAACCCGTTGACTCTTGAACAAAGCGACATCACGATAGTATATCTCTCTTTTTGTCGCAGTTACATTCTTTTGCAAGAGATCTTTACAGTACTCCAGAATGCGCACATATATGTCTTATACGATGATAGTCCTCAACCTTTACTTCTCAAATTTGAGAGCATTCAGAGTGTCGAACTTACCGAAGCGCCCATTCCCATCTGGAATCATTTTGTAGACGTGCCTTTTTGTTTGCAGTCTCATGACTGGGATCTGATCGTCATACCTGCATTCCAGACTTTAGGACCATTTCCAGAACTCCTTGTTTCCTCACAAAATGTCGACTCGTACTTCCAAACTTTTTGACTACGAGAGATCATCTTGAGAACATGTTGTTTTCCAGTTTCGGGCGCTTGTCGGATGCGACTGAGTACGGCATCTACTTGCTCCAGCATCCACTCTCTATCAAGCAATTAGCACTATTACAGCACCAGAACGGGCAGACCACTTCATCGGTTGATTCTCACCGGCTACGTGCCGTTGCTTTCCAGAGCGACCCAACCTCTAACTGGTCCATACATGGATCTCCAACTAGAACGATTTCGAATGGGATCTTTGATAACTTTTTGTCCTTCTCCAATTGGCTGGAAATCAGAGGATCTATATCCATTTCCATTTCCTTTCCTGCCGTGAGTCCTAATATATCCGGTACAAGCGTCTCGTCCTTGTACGATAATCGATCATCTGCCCAAACATCGCTGTCCACCGATAGCTCGAATTTCAAAGAACTGCTGTTGCTGTCCGCTTCGTATGTAAACAGCATATCATCATCTTCAGAGCGGAACTGGATTTGATCATGCTCTCGACTCAATGAGGGCGGCGCCCAGCTATCATTTTCTGCGGTGTCTTCCAAGCCATCTTCGCTGAACCATTCGGCATGTGCGTCTGGACTGTAATGTACCATATTGCTGGAGAGTGTATTAGCACGGATTGTAGAACCGCCATGGTCATGTTTTTGTTCTGTAGTATCCAGCACATCTTCATCACATGAAACCGCCTGATTCTGGTGAGAACTCTCCGCTTCGCTCTCATGATCCAAAAACTCGTTCCCTTCCCAAATTATATCCATTTCAACACAGCTCTCGTGTGTTACTTCAGCAAAGTCGTCATCCCAAAGCTCACTTAAGTGCCCATCAACTGAAGATAACTCGCCTTCCGCTCCGCGATCCCGGAAGCATATCGCTTCGTCTTCTGTCAGGTCCCACAGCACATCATCGTCATGTCGAAAGGCAAAATCCTGATTGGCATGGTCAACCCATTCCGTGCTCTCCCCATCCTTGATAAACAGTTCCCAGCAACCCGGCGCCCATTCCCCTTCGTGAGCGGGGGAATATCCTCCAACACCTTCGTCCTTTCCTCTCTCTTCAACTTGATATCCAAGAAGTAAATCATCATAGTTGGACGTTAGCAACTGCATTCCTTATCATCGGCAAAGTACGGCGATAGTTCATCTGAGACGTGGGAATCGGATTGGGTAATACCCAGATTCATGTCACTTAACACGTAAATTAATGTGCCTAAACTCGTATATATCAACATGCCAGCCACATGAAGGTTCAAAGTGCGACACAACCGTCGACTTTTGGCCAGAAAGCCAGCTCAAAAGCCTGCAGCAAAGGATCTCAGATGAAATATGGCTATCTCAAGGCCCGATATTAACACGCCTATTACGCTTTGGGATGCATTGTTAATGAATGTATCGTTGATAGACAAGCAGTAGGTCATGATAGTCCCGATGGCACGCCCAAACGGCAGAACTAACTTATAGAGTATTGTAGAGGACCTGCCCTCTTTGACCACCAAGTTTGATACTGTGCATTGCACTACAGTTCTTCAGGACATCAAGAGATTTACTGCTTATACACACGCCCAAATCCACTGATTCCCTGAGCATAGCTCTGGCGGGCTATGGTCCGTCGTCCCTATTTCCTTGCATACCAGATATCTACCACTTGGACTAGTTGAGAGCCTTCCTTGCATGTCGCAAGTCGTCGGTTGACAAAGCTCCTTTGGAAAGTGGTAGGAAGAGAGTGAGTCGCGCAGCCAAATCAACCCACATCGCGCGACTAAACCCCCAGGCGGACCTTTTGGCCAAACGCCACCAAGTGTCAAGTGAGGTTGAGGAGTACCTTTAGCAGTTAACGACGTCGCGGAAGGAGTGGCCCCCAACTCTCTCGGATACCCTCAAACTGCAAGTTCCCGAACTCGAGCCACTCCAAGACATCTGTTGCTCATCCCTTGTCCCAACGAGAAATAGTGCCCATAGTCTTGAGACTCGAGTGACTAAAAGCATGGATCTTCTCCGAAAGATCGTTCGAAGCAATACTGCACCTGCACGGCGGAAAGAGCGCCCCCACGATGCATTTGCTCTTACAGAGATTTCGCGCCTTGGTATACCCGGATATCCAACAGCAATCGCGCATGATCCTGCCCAGTCGCTATTGGCGATAGGAACGTCTGTGGGATCCGTGGTAATAGTCGGGAAGGGATGGGAGTATGCGTTATTCGCACCGGAAGGCTACTCCTCTGCCATTCGTTTTCTGGCTTTCAAAGTTGGAGACAAGTACGTAATTGGAGTCACTGCAAAGAGCGACCTCTTGGTATGGGACCTGCAGGCGATCAAGTTGAAGTTCCCACCGGTCCCTGTATATGGCAGTGTTTCCAGCTTGAATGTGCCATCACAATCAAAGTGGATATATCTGGGCTGCTGTAATGGAACTGTTATTGTTTATGACTGTACGACGGGCAAGCAATCCCCGTACACCATCACCTACCCTTTTTACGGTGACGAGGAAGCACCCGGAGAAGATGATCAACGTCAAATACAAGTAACTGGCCTTGAAACAAGTCCAACAGATTTGAACCTACTGCTTATCGGGTATGCATCGGGGTTCGTTGCTTTGTGGGATCTGAAGGAGCAGTTGCTGCGACGAAAATTTCGCATGCAGCTGGCAGACGGCGATGGACCATTGCAAGCAGTGTGTTGGCATCCCGATGGACTCTATTTCATGGCCAATTTTGGGCGGCGATCAGCAATATGGGAATTGAAGGAAGGATGGTTAGATGGGCTGAAAAAGAATACAATTCATAAACCTGTACGAGTTATTGAGACTACGCCCGTATCGGTAACCCCGGCACAAGATCCTAGCAAACCCTTCAGTCGTAAAATAATATGGATGCGAGGAACAACAACAGACGAGAGTTTACTCATTATGACGGGTGTGAAGGAGGAGGGTGAGAGTTTGGCTGTCCGTCGACTTTCTCGATGTACAAACATGGCAAACATGAAGAGCGATGTAATGCACGCCATTGGCATGGATGCGGTAGACTTTGCTCTAGTGGGTGATGACAAGGGCAAGCATCGTTTGGCGGTTGTCGTGGTTACCTCTTCAAGGACAGTTGAAGCCTTCTATTTGGGACAAGAAGATCGATTAAGCTTGTCCGGGTCTGTGATAATATCGTCAGCCGAACGTATTACCGACTTCACATATTCAGATTGTCCTGAAGCTCTAGGATGGGAGATGCGGGGAGGCGCCACGCCTCCAGAAGACCCTCGAACGCTGCCAATGCACGGCGGAACACTGATCAACAAGAACGCAAAGTACGTGTGGGACGTATTTTGCACATTGCATGCCGACAAAGTGATTCGATTTTGGCAAGTCGGCATCCCTTCGCCACGACTACTCTTCACCTTATCGCCAGACAAAGTTAGCGGCGATCTCAATCAGGTTACGATGGATCTCGACCAACGTGCTCTTCTGCTGACTGCAGGGTGCACGGTCACCATGTATCGCTGGTTTAGTGCGAGTGAAATCAGGGCGGCAAAGGCCGCCAACGGCCCACTGGAGGACATGGATGCACTCATGCAACGTTTAGACGAGACAGTTGACCAAGTTTTAAAGCAATCGGAGGACATTCAGAGACTCTCCCGTGCTAGTGATAGCTTGCAAGCTGTTGCAGATGAGCCAGAAGTGCCACAGGGTCAAGAACCGGAGCACGGTGGCAAGACATCGGAAGAGGAGGAGGGAGTGGCACGGCCATTGCGTAAGCACTCTTCGGCGGGAGATTCCCAAGGCGTTGGGGAAGCTGATAGCAAGACCGGTACGGACAATGGGGTGGACCCTGCGCCAGCTGTTGATGCAACCCCGCCCGATCAGACATCAGCCCCGACAGTATCATTGGAGACGTCGGGCGACGGTCAAAGCGCAGAGCGGTCCCCAACAGGGTCTGATGACCAACAACCTGAAGGGGAACGTCCGGTCTCCGGTAATACTTCCCCAAAGAAAGAATCTGAGGCTAAATTACCAGCGCCGGAGCAACCACCGGCTCTACCGCAACGATTGAGTTCTCATGATCCCCTGGCGAACGAAAGGGCGAGCCTGGTTGGAAACTCACAGCATGTCGACTTTCGAGATTCCGTTCTGGTAAAAGACAGTTTTCCCTTTGAAGCCCAGGAAACGGAGCTCCGGGACTCCTTGACAAGTAACGACTATGTCACACTCGAGACAATTCTTCCAGAAGAGCCACCCGAAAAACCCAGTTGGCAGCCGATGGTGCAAGCTGTACACAAGGACCCTGTTCGGCTGCAAGCGTTTGCAAGCTGGGCGGATCTGTAAGTCATGGTTGGGTTTGCTCCTGTTGAATTTCACTGACCTCGTACCCTTTGTAGTCTCGTAACGGCTACCGAAGGTGGTCGCTTACACGTTGTTCAATTGAGTACTGGACGAGAGGTGACCGTAGAACCACTATACGGTAAGGAATGTCATGAACGGTGAATCATAAATTGTTAAAATGCTCATTTGTGCATCATTCTCTAGGTGAATCGCGTGAAAACTCTGAAGTGGTCGAATATGACTTACTCCATGTTGCCGATACCTATTTCGATAAAGGTTTGCCCAAAATCATTGCATTCCTCGGTCGCAATAGGGTTAACCCTCGCACTATTTCTCAGAAACTGTACCTCGGACTTGCATCTTTGCTCTATCCGCAGCTGGTCTTCAGCTCGTGTACGGAGTTTACACTGACATCGTAATGGGGGATCTGACATTGAAGAAATGTAAGTCTACGACACGACTTGTGATTCTCAATGTTAGCCTGAAATTATTTTTCACCGACATCAATGTTCTGCTTTACAGGGGTTCTCTTTGATCGCCGGCGAACTAGACAACAACCAGTGTTTGTGACAGTGCTCGATGACCATGGTCGTGTCGTTCGACAAGCTCGAACGTCACATCACAGTGGAGCCTCCAACCAGCCGGGTGAAAATTACATCATAGCAGCACTATCCCGAACGATCGTGGTATACATTGTAGAGCCAGGGACCAAACCTGCTGTGGCAGCTATTGTTAATCCATCGGACGAGAATGGGCCAATCCTCAAAGCCTCCTTGAGCTTTCTTCATGGTAAGTAATATCCATTGTTTCTGGTAGAATGGGATTGTTACAACTCTTGTTGGTATAGGAGATCCGGTCCTTGTCGTTGTTACCGGAACGGGGCTCATACAAGCGTTTGAGCTGCCTGGATTGAAGCTCCTGTGGGAGAATCGTTTGCCAATAGCAAATTTGGACGAAAGGTAAAGAGCGGGCTGCGTGCACATGGCTTACATTTTATTCATCCTGGTTGCCTTTCGTTTTATGCAGTCGTCTCCGGAAGACATGCATTGCAAAGGATGGTAAAACGCTGTGCTGGACTTGGGAACGGGAATTCCGTATGTTCAGCTTTATGAGCGATAAATCTCAGTAAGCAATTGTGTTAATGTCGGTCATGTATATCAACCATTAATTATTGTTTATCGTAGTCTTCCAGACGTGGAAACCCGGATATACGATCTCACACGAGCGACGTCATGGGCGCGAGCTCATGGTGTGAGACTAAGTTCCGCTAGCTCAAATAAAGAACATGATGCTCTATGTAAGACTGCTGACGACCCTTAAGAACATTGCTTTCAGTTTTCTGATTTATAACTTTCTAGTTCATCCCTTACCAAAAATTGAACCTGTGGGATCATTATCCGGCGAGGAAGGGTCCGCCTTTGGTCATGCCAAACGAGTAAGTGGGCAGAGTATGTACTGTTGTGGAACATTTGATTTAAACTGGGTTGTCAATAGGCATTGGATGAGCGAGGGGAAAAACTGGGACAGCTTGAACACAAGTTTGGGGATCTAGCAGATTCATCAAAGAATTTTTTGGACACTATAAAGGAATACAACGAACGACAGGTGATTTACGCTCAGTTCGGGCAGGACCATAGCAGCGTCGGTTTATGTTGAACGCCGTCAGCTTGTTTACTCTTTTATCTCCCTCTCTCACACACACACACATATCAATTAGGCGCAAAAGAAATGGTAAAGTTTCACAGCAATAAAAATTGAGTAAAACTATGAAGGTATTGATATATTCTGCTCCACAGGTGGCAGCTTTAAGGCACGTTGTAAGTTCCTCTGTTGCAAACGTAATACGTAAGTTAGATATAAGTAACGTAGAAAGGATACGGAAGCGGTTAGATCTGCTTTTGAGTTTCTTCCATGGGTGTTTTCATAGTTTCTTGTTCATTGGATGTTAATTAGTTGGTTAGTATTAAGTAATGTGATCGCGATCTGGGTAAAAGTTGTAGCGCGCGAGCGAAGCGCGTTTGAAGTAGAACACTGTCGCCTCCCCATTCCGCCATCTTCTACTCGCAATCTATCACTTTCGCCAACAATGTCAGAACCTGTAATCTCAGACATCACCATTCCAGCGCACATTGATGCATTTCCCATCAAAGCTACGTTGTTTGCCCCGCAAACTACCGAACCTTCCACTTCCACCACATTACCCTCAGCGGTCCTCATAAACTCGGCGACCGGGGTGCCCCGACGCTTCTATAGCAACTTTGCCAAGTATCTGGCATCAGCTCATTCTTGCCCCGTTTTGATTTACGATTACCGCGGGCATGGCGATTCCCTTCCAGAGGAAGGCGGGTTGGCCGCACTCAAGAATACCCATATCCACATTCATTGGGCCACGTACGATCAACCCGCGGCAACCGCTCACCTCCACACTCTGTATCCAGATCGGGGCATAGTTATCATTGGTCACAGCGTGGGAGCGCACATTGCCCCCCTGAATCCTCTAAAGCATCTCGTAACCCGATACATTTTTGCGGCAAGCAATAACGCATTCTGGGGTTATCACTCTCGACCTTTAGTGACATTTGCGTTTCCTTGGATGGTAGAAGTGCTGGGAGCAGTTGCGGGATACTTTCCGGCCAAGAAAATTAAACTTTGCGATGATATTCCGTTGGGAGTCGGCCGGGATTGGGCAAGGTGGACACGGTGTCCCGAGTATTGCACGACTGAACCAGAGGTGAAGGACGCATATGACGCATTTAAACCTGAATCTGCTATCGGTATAGCGGCGACGGATGATCACTTATGTGCGGATAGGCGGGCGTTTGATGAGTGGTTTGCTTTAATGCCGAATGCCAAGGTGCGCTTTTATTATGTAGAACCCAAAGAGCTAGGCGCTAAGGAGGTTGGTCACATGGGACTATTTAAAAAGGCGTGCAAAGATGGGTCGTGGGATGCGATAGCGCGTTACATTATTGAGGGCGTAGAACCTAGATTTAAGACCACAGAGACTACAGCAAAGTTATAGTGCCGTAAATAGCGCAACTATGCAGCACTGTTCAATTTCTCCGGACTCTAACGGCTAATAACAATCTCTATCTCGGCTGTTGGCTGCTTAAGCTATGATATTCCCTTGTTGATCCACTTTTTTGAACTTTGCGGGGCGTTCTCCAACGCCACCATACTGGTCGTACACGAGCCCGCAGACAATGTTTGCCAACAGGTCCGCGTTTTCTTGTGTATCAGCTTCCGCATAGACGCGAACGACATCCTCTGTACCCGACGGACTAATATTCCGCAGTCAAAGATCAGAAACATGTCCACAATAAACACTCGTACGATAACTTACCGGACAAAGGACCGGCCATGTTTAAATTTCGCAACTTGCTGGTTGATCTTTTGCTGCAAGCCCTCTGGCTTGGCAAGCTCTGTGTCCGCTTTGATGGCCTCAAAGTTCAATCTATTTTGCACCTGTCGCCCGCGTCAGTGTTGGCAGGAGTGTACCATATCCGTCTGGTGGAGCGTACACACCTTGACTTTCTCCAATCTACTTGGCAGATCAGAGTACGCAGAATCCCAGTCCGCCAATGACCGCCCTTGAGAGGTCAGAATTGCCTCCACCATCAGAAGATCAGATAGTGCATCGCCGACCGTTTGGTTGATCAGGTCAGTCAATGCCTTTAAAATCTCAAGCGCTTCCGTTTCTTCCGCAGTTTTTCTGTCATCCGATTTGAAGCTTCGTTAGCAAGCTCATCGGAAAGACCCCCTCGGGAACTAACTCACCCAGTGGTGGAGTGGAACGCCTTGATAGCTTGCTGGCTGAACAAGACCGTTCCATGCCCATTGGCTTCAAAATACGCCCCAACATCGAATTCCTCTGCGGCGTGATGGAGATGCTTCACACCCGTTGGCGTAAAGACAACAGGTACTTTCTAGTAGCCATAGTTGCATTAATTGCCATGACTTTGCAGAAGCCACGCAAAGCTATAACCCACCAGCGTATCCTTGACATATGCAGTCGCACTACCATTTGCATACGCGGTTTGTACCAGACCTACGTTGATGTTTGGGACCTTTGCCTTTCGCACAAGCCCCATGATGAATTCGGCCGCCAACGTCGCAATTTTGTCTCCATCCAACAATTTAAACGTTCCGGCTAACACTCGGTTGATATCGGTAGATATAGCGTTTGGTTACGACTTGGTTCTTACCATTGTCCGCGTACCAAAACACAATACGATCAGCATCACCATCCAGAGACGCACATCGCATGCCGGGCTTCAGATCGAAGCCCTCCGGCTTCTTTTGATTGACTTTGACGAAATCAGCACCGCTCTGACGTAGTGAAGTTATTAACACATGTGAATTATTGGCCGACGATAGTCCGCACTACCTGGTGGTTAAGCTTCGTTGGTGTAGCCGTGTCATCATTCACCACTTGCACGGATAAGAGGTCATCGGTCAGCACTTTTGCCAGCTTATGAAGAGCCGGTGCACCAATGCCATTCGCGGCATCTACGTAAATCGTCGACAACTTGGGCTTGCCGGACTGGCTTGAGAAAATGAGCATCTGCTAGTGACTGGGATCGGTGACTCGGCGAGGGTCCTACCACTATCCGCTTAAATGCTTCTGCCAGCTTTCGATAGTAACCCTGCTCACTGGGCTCTCCGTACGCGTCTGGCGTGCCTTGGGTATTTAAGCAGCGTGTAAGGTAGTGCAACTGGGGAGTAGTCGTCAATCCATAGTCGGTGATTTTCCCCCCAAGTGCCTGCACACCGTCGGTCAAAGCAGCAACCAACGCCTCACCGCTCGGCCTGTCCATATTCAACAAAATTATAGGTTCGATCGCGATAGATGCGCTCGTGTGACAACAATCGTTACCTGGTGTCTCTGCCGACAATAACAACAGCCTCGTTCGAAAGGTCAATTTGCTCCTTTTCCACAACATTCTGCAGTGCTGCAATCAAGGCATCGTCCGAGGAGGCGTTGGCCAGCTCCGTTGCATACTGTTCCCACGATTGAGCTAGCATTTCCCCCATGGGTTCAACGAGCTTGACACCATTGTCTTGGGCAGGGTTGTGAGACGCGGTTATCATCACTCCGATGACCTTGCCGGCATGCTTCTTTGACCGAAGCACCGCAAGTAGCCCGACCCGAAAAATAACTGAGTCTAGAACGTCGGCTCTACAGAAAAGTGTGCAAGTCAAACCAATGTCCAATTGGAGATGGTGAAAAGGTGACGAGCACAATTTACTTTGTACGGAAGCCCGCAGTCCCATACGTGTACGAGACGTTCAGTTTTGGGTGCTTCGCTGAGAGCTCGGTGATCTTGCTGTGGTCCATAGTCATGTTGATTCCTGTCCTGATGAATTTTGCGGTAGAATCTGTTGAAGAACGCGCTCTCAGCAAGGTTCCTCTAAATCAAGAGTACAGCCACCCGTCTACTTTAGCTCCAGCACTGAGTGCTTTCCACCACACCAATTGTAATTTTAGAATACCATCCCCACGAGGAAGGTATGTAGAGTAGTCCACGTTAGTATCGACAAAGATGCCTCTAGAGAATAAGCTAGTTCTGTTATGCGAGCCAGTTACCGCAGTACTCTATCGTATGAACGCGATGTTTTTGTTTGCTGGTTTATAGCTAACATTGTTGCCCCAGAATGAAGTTTTGTTCCAAATAACAGCACTGTCAAATGTCGCACCTTTCTCGTGGGGTGGAATTCTAACCTTTCCATTCGCTTATAGTATTTTCTAGCAAGTGGCTCTCCGGATGATCCCCCTGTACTCCTCTTTAACATAATTTGTTGACGTGCAGCAATAAATTACTCCGCGGGATCATCATCCAGCAAACATGTTCTGCATGTTTCCGATTGTAGAGGCGCACAATACTCTATGGAGGATCGCAATCTCCCATGGATGAGGCCCTCTCCGTATAGTGTGTCAATCTTGCATTGAAAAAGTTCTGCTTTGCATCGCCCACTATGCTATCGGTTTGCGGTATGGAAAGCTTGTGCTGGCCACATATAGACATGTGATGTGAATGGATCAGCAAAACTGGGGGTTGTACCGTACGTATTGTGTCCGGCATGGTGACGCCGCTGCCGTGGTGGTCGGTCTATCCATCCTACACCCTGCGAGGCGAAAACAATGATTTAAGCAATTCCATTGAAGAAATCGATGAATTGATTAGTATAACCTCTGGTAGTGAATGCAGATTATGGTTGGATATGTCTCTTTGAAGTATATACAGTATATTTTGAATTAGAATGCGACCAGCGATTGCAGTGGCCGCAGAAGAAGAGACGCATAACTGCAGCAAAGCATCGACGTAAAGCTGAGAATATGAGGTGAGAACTATCTTGTTGAAAATGTACCATGAATATGGCATAAAAAGTAATATTTACCTCATTGTGTGCTTCAAAATGTCCGTCCTCTCAATCTCAACCAACACTCCGGAAATAAGGCAGCCTCCTTCCGCATCTGATTTGAGGCGTTCCGAGGAAGCATGCTTGTATAATCTGCTTGTTTCAACATGCCAAACTCGCCATTGCTGACTATCCAAGGTAAAGAGGGTCACCAAACCAACCTCCAACAGCTTTTTTGACCAATTGAGTTAATCAGTTTGGTTATGCCATCAGCAAAGGCATGATACGCCCCAGTATTTTGAAATTTCGGTCGTGTGTTTCCTATTGGTTCAGTTTTTGTGTCGTTTTAGAAAGCACGAGAAGCTGACTATTATCCAAGTCCTCTTGAGGTCCTCCAGCTTTGTGCAACAGAACTATAATAGCTCGCTGAGTTAGTTCGAGCAGCTATCATGTCAACATTCCGGATACCTAAACAAAAGTAGCTTGCATGTGAGCATCCAAGGGACGACCCTGGCTTTGTGCACATTATTCTGTAGTTATTATTGGAGACAAACAAATCCGTGTCCGTGATGGCTCCGCGGGTGACGTTTGTCTGTCACGGAAATGTTCATATCCGAGTTCTTTCATTCTAAGAATAGCCATAATCCGTCCATGCGGGAGAAAGCACATGTCTCTCAGCAAAAAAAAAAAAGCACAAACTCGGGAATGAAAAGCCTACCATTGGTGTGAATATGGGGTTACACAAATTAAATATAGGTAGCCAAGCTTAGCACCAGACAACGTTTTTCTTTACCCAATGTGACCATGTTTATGTGACATTCATGCGCCTTTTAGGTAACGTTAATTTGGAATCGCTTATCTTCTTTTGGATTTACTCTACCTTGCTATTATTCCCATGGTGCAACAATCTTAACAAATCATGTCAAAGAACGCTCCACTATTGGTCCAAACATTGCTCCGCAGACTACGCACAAAGGTTCTCGTACCCCGAGGATAAGAAAGCAAGACCAGGATTTTGACGTGAATTCGTCAATATTTAGGTGACATTCAGGTGCCTTCTAAGGAATGTCAATGCGCCATTTATGTTCAGGGAAAGGTTAACGAGGCTTGCATATTTGTAAAAAGATACATGCTATCATATGCGAGGGGTTTATAAAGGCCATGAGTTGGCCCCGTTTCCGCTCCAACTACAACGAAAACTAGCCACAGAATATAAGTAGAGTTTGCAAGTCTTTTTTGCACTACAATATCGTTGCTGCACCCAAGTAACCCGGTCGACACAAAACATGGACCCACTCCAGCTTTCAGCTATAGGTTCAGGAAGTGCCCTTGCTGGGGTGACTGTACTGCTATCGTTTTGGGAGAACATTGTCAAGACGAAGAACGTGCACATGAAAACGTCGATTCTGATTGCCATCCTTTCCTATATCGTTTCCATGTCGTTCGTTAGTAGCTCCTGGAGCTATTTGGGGCTGGGAAACCCGGATGGATTTGCCACCAGAATTATATGTGCTACTGCATTCTACGACTTCTTCTTCGCCTGCCTGACATATCATTCGGCGTACCGGACGTTTCTCATATGCAAGCCGTTCCACCCGAGAGTCTGGCTACTGGCCGCGGGCGTAACGCTCACTCAGATAGTCATTCACGGCACCGCAAGCTACTTCTGGGCCACCAATATGAAAGCTAACTACGGAACGATCCCGTCGCCAATCAGCACCACAATGGAGACGGTGGTATTGGTGTACTACAGCACAGTCGAGTCAGTTCTGTTCCTGATCACTCAGTACAAGATCGTGGAATCTACCACTGCCACGAAGACAAACGTGAGCATGGTGACCAAGCTGACGACATACATGAATGGATTTGCGCGATCAATCGCCTATACCGCCAATATCTGCATTGGGTTCATAGCTCTCGGCGAAGTGATACCCGTAACCCACAACTGGAACTTCCCGATGTACGGCCCCGCGTTCCTCATCATCATAATTCTTACCGATGTGGGACGCTTCCAGGACTGCATGACGAAGCTACACAATTTGGATTCCACGAGCGGCAGAAAGGGCCACGGTCACTCCTCTAACGGGGGGCCGGCTGGACGCACGGTGCAACTTTCCGATGCAAAGTCGGGAGGCGATTATCACGACGGTAACCGCCACTGCTGAACTGAGAGATAAACCGAATCTGTTCTTCACAATCGAGTTTAAAGACGACTGGCCAAAGTAGTACGATACGTGACATTTTTTTTTAGTTAGCGAGAGGAAGGGGGACTACGGCCTTTGAGTAAGGGAGGGATATCCAGGATCGATAAGTAGGGTATCCTGGTATATCAAGGCAAAGCACGATCTGCGGGTTGTTGTAGTAGAGAGTGCATATTTTGATAATATCAGTACTTGTTCTGCTGACAACCATCAAGGGGATGTCATTCAATATTTATCCACTTTAACCATGGTAGAAGCTCTATACCGTCGAGGCAGAAACTTGTTTGCTTACCAATTCTATCACGTGGTCCAATGAGTGGCACAGTTGTGAAAATGCAAGACGCGATGAACCCTCAGATGAACCCGTAAGAAACACGCGTGGCCCCTAGCGAACTCACAACTCTATCTTTAGCATCAACCCACTATGTCTGGACTTGGAGCCCCTTTGTCCGTATTTCGAGGACCACCATGTCCTTTGACAAGCTCCGTGGACGGCTGAAGGACTTGGACCTTAAAGAAAAGGTAACATTACTGTCCAACCTCGCTTGGCGACAAATATCTGGTCAGGATTCACTCCCCGCGAACTGAAAATCCTTTTTGTATATCTCCCTCCAACTATATTCGTGTATCACTTCAATGTGCACAGTTTGACGAGTTCTACGGTGGTGTTAAAGATGTTGGAGGAAAGGTTTCGAAAAAAGCGGGTGGAACGATATCCAAGGCTGGGAAAACTCTATCAAGAGCAGCGAGTGGGACGCTGTACAAAACCAGCACGGTAGGGAAGACTTTTGGTGCAAAGTCCCAGAACGATGGTCTCGCGGACCTCAAGGATATGGAAGGTTCTCCGAGACAAGCACGCAACAAATCGCTGCCTTCTTTGACTCTCTTGGCGACGCTCAGTGATAAAGACCTTAAGCGACAAGTAAAAAGCAGCAGCGCCGAGATACTGGGTCAGGGAGGGTTCTCACGAGTTGTCAAAGCACAAATGGCAAATGGATCTGTGGTTGCAGTTAAAGTCCACGAAAAGAGAAAGAACGAGACAAAGTATCAGTTCAAAGCGCGAGTTGAAAGGGAAATATCGACAATGACCAAGGTGTCGGACCACATCAATGTGGTAAAGGTACGAGGAGACTAAATGCACCTGTTATGCTATTAGAATGATTGATGTCTCATGACTATATGCTACTAGGCTCTTGAAACAATTGACGGTAACAAACGAATATACGCGGTAATGGAGTTTGCTACGGGGGGAAGTCTTGAAGACATTATGATTTCTTCCGTCGGTACGCTTCACTTGGGAATGGTCGCATGCGGTCTGTCATGACGATTTCTCTTTCAAGGTGCAATGCCCCTCGCAGAACTTCAATGCAACTTTAAGAAACTCATTCGCGTAATCTTGTACTTGCACTCTCACCACATTGTGCATCGCGATATAAAACCTGGTAATGTGCGGTGGTTGCAGTGTCTGCACGCGCCTTGGGTGGTCTGTCTCTAACCTGCTTCTCCATCGCTGTGCACATCGTTAGGCAACGTCCTGTTCACATCCGATGGAACGCTAAAACTCTCCGATTTTGGATCCGCGGCCGACACTCAAAATGTTATACACATGCTGACATCATTCGGTGTCACCGACTTGTGGTCCGCTCCAGAAGCCACTTCGTCCGGTGCATCACCGATATCTCCGAATCCTTCCAGCCCGGAAAAGCTCGACGTGTATTCTTGTGGAGTTCTATTTCTTTTGATGTTCTGGGGATATGAGAAAATGGATGGGTGGCTGGCAGAGGGTGCCCATCCAGTTAAAACCGAAGAAGGGTTTCCCCCAAATCACCCTGCCATCGTAGGACTGCCAGATCACATGAAAGGGATAATACAAAGATTATTGGAACGAGATCCGGGGAAAAGATGCTCGCTGGCGGAGGTGGAAGAGGATGCGTGGTTCAAGGAAATTAGAGTATGTGGACAAGGTGGAGATCCGGGTGTGGTACATCATCATACAGTGCGACGCAAGTCCGAAACTGGAGCAAGTGCCCTTGCTGATAAACCGCCACCTACTCCTGTCCGGAAGCGCCCGCTTTTGGAAGAACTCTGGCCGCTGGAAGGAAATAAGTTGGATCATAAGGATTCAGAAGGGGATCAATTACCTCGAAGCCCTCTATCTGCCCAACTGGAAGGAACGGGAGTTGCGCTCAGTCCTGTTCTGCCGATAGAGGAACAACCGGGTCAAAAGACAGTGATATTGGGAGAAGAGATACAGGGTGAAGAGAGATCACATTGCCAGACAAGGAAGCAGGGGGACGAGGATATGCAGACTGCAATGGGATTCAATGGGGAAGGGCCAATGGAAGGGCCAATTCTGTAAATGAGTAACACGACATTACATTGATATATGTTTGGTGGGTTCTACAAGATAACAGCTGTTCATGTCACCATTCTTCTTTGTACAAGAAATTGCACAATATGGGATCAGTGGTGATATGGAGAGAAAATATATATGACCTGCAATCTTAACAAGCACGCTTGTCCGAGCGGTCTAAGGAGCTGGTCTCAAGTTCCAGTCTCGAAAGAGGCGTGAGTTCGAATCTCACAGCGTGCACTTGGGTTACGGAGAAGAAAATGTTTTTTGTTGATTCGACCCGCCAAATCTTGTTACGGATGGTATCTGCATAGCTGGAGACACTTGGGGCCGTCTGTCATCTTTAGTACATCAGAAGATTATCTTTGAAATCACAGAGTACCGTGATTTGGTTTTCTCTTGATGACCGTAGAGCGTTATGTCAGCCCTGTCACTGAAAAGGAACATTCATAATCCTTTATATATATGAGGGAATGGTTCCCAGCTCTTGCATCAATACAAGATTTACGAATGGGCTACCGAACTCAACGAGCTTGACCTTGCGAGATCATTTTGTATCACCTCACTCGCCTGCTCCACAATTTCCCTACTCGTTGGTTCGTAGCGCAGACAGCAGATATGCGTATTAACTTTGGATTTGGACGGAAACTGTACATGGATAATCAACAGTTCCCTTCCACAATAATATCGCTTCAATTTGAAATGTCCAAAAATTAAGTGTACCAGAACAATGTGTGATTCGTGTAATTATGCATGGGAAGACAGGATAGGTATATGAATCAATAGCGCAACCTAAGCCCACTTTCCAAATAATGGCTCTGTCTTGAATTTCGTCTTGTCCAATTGGAGGCTGTGCATGAGAAAAGATAATCAGAGACGTCACAAGAAAGAATTAGTTTTAAAGTGTTTGGTACGTACTCTTGAAAGACTTTGTCGTCCTGTAGCTTCACTACATCCTTGTGTTCCTCCTCTTCCATTTCTTCAAGTTCTGCAAGGTAAAACCGTGAGACCTCATTGTCTTGCAAAATATTGTAACGGTAGTTCACAAACAAACCTTTCCCAGCTTGCCCAAGATCCTCGGATACATCTTCCGCAGCACCAATCAGCAGAATTTCAACATGATCGAAATCGAGAAGTGCAGGCGGGTTGGCGGGTATGAATCTACGGCCCCGGAAGAGTTCGAGGAATTTGGGTGGTAGGTTCGACTTTTGGCGCTCTCCGAGGCCGGCCCAGGGTGGAGAGGGTGTTTCCGGATTCTAATTCGTTATACGTCAATATCGTATCATGGAAGTCATTGTGCATTTGATGGAGATTCTTTGCTTACTTTGATCGACAAGATGAAAGATCCCTCCTTTTCAATGTTGAAGGTCTTTTGTACCTCAGCTGTAGTACGTTAGGGAAGTCCAAGGTACCAGTCTAAACCGTGACATCTGACTTACTTGGTTCCTCTGGCAGTGTTAATACATAGGCTAAATGGGTATGACCGTTATGATCCACAATTGAATATACCCCTTCACCTATCGACAGTAAAGTCAAGAAAAGTCATTATACGGGAGAGAGGAATTTATTCTACACGCCAATCTATCTTACCACAAGGTCGCGCAGGTTCGAGATGCCGGGTACCTTGGGCATACCTGTCAGCCTTTTCCAGCTTTCACAACAATGAGCGGAAAACCCCACTAACCTCTCGTCTTCGTTTCATAAGTCTCCCCTCGAAGGTACTGCTCCAAATCTTTCACATCATCCACAACGTGGTCAACAAATCCCCAATATCGAGCCCGACTACCAATCTCTGGCAGTTTTTTGCGAGTCACAATGATTTCCCGGATTCGATGGCCGTGGTAAACATGGGATTCCTTGTCATCTTCAGATTTAAATTGGTATACATCGGGTTTGAGGACAATGTAGAACCGTTGGACGTCGTCAAGGCCTTTTGCTTCCGACTTTTCCACCTTGGGCCTGTAGAAAAAGAAGATGTGACCTTTCTCTAGGACGCCTGGAAGAGTGTTTTGGAATGCTTGGATGATTGGTATGTGGCATCATGAGAGGAGTAGGGATCAGATTTTAGATTACCTTTACCAGGAGGCGGGGGTACCAAGTCTCCAAGTGCGCTGCCCGTCTCGGCGCTCTCCTTCTTGACTGGACTCTCCGGTGCCTCTTTTTTCGGGCTCTTGACGCTCTCCTTTGTTGGGCTCTTTGGCGTCTCTCTTTTAGGGCTTTTCAACTCCTCCTCCTTTGAGCTCTCTGGTACTTCCTTTTTGGGGCTCTTAACGTTCTCCTTTGTTGGGCTCTTTGGCGCCTCACTTTTAGGGCTTTGCAAATCCTTCTTCTGTGGGCTTCCCATTTTAACACCGCCCTTCCCCGTGCTGCTCTCCTGCTCTTCTTTCATCTCACCCTCATGTTTCGCCTCTCCATTTCCATTCTGTGTGTCTTTCTTGCCACTGTCTGCCGTTCCGGATTCTTCTTCTTTGGGCTTTTTGGTTGTTCTCCCTTTGGGGCTCGTAGGACTTGTCGGTGCACTCCCATCATCACCTCCCATATGATCCTGTTTTCTCTTTCTTGTTCTCTTTGTCGGACTAGTTGGACTCGTCTCTTCCTCGTCTGCTTTCTTCTTACGAGGGGTTTTAGCCTTGGTCTTTTCCTTTGTTTCAGTCATTGCAGCCAATTTCTCCTTTCCGGCTGCTGCTGCTGCCCTCGTTGAACGACGGGTGCGTTTGGCGTTTGTGCTTTCCGCAGGGTCCTCTGGGGAAGTCGAGATAGCAATTTCTGCGTCTGCAGTTTTACGTTTGGCGCTTGGCATTCTGTTCTCAATGTGTGCGATCTAACACACAAGTGTTGACATCAAAAGGGACAAACTGGGCAATACAGTACATTTTTATAGCAGACTGGCTTGAGGCTTGAAGGATACTGAGCTCAGATCTTTGCGGAACGCGCTACGTAATGAAGGCCAATGGAACGTCACCAGTTGTCATACGGGTTACGCGGTCAATGCAAGAGGAAAGGGCAAGAGGCCCCTGCGCTGTCACTATGCAAAGATTTTATGATACAGGATTTGCTCTCGGGACGGCGGGCGTGCCATCACGGAGAACAATGCATTGTTTAGTGCTACTTGTATACTGAGGCGACGTAGCAAGACCCAATAGGATGGGACAGTTTCAACTATGAATGCAAACAGTTCCTTTCGGTTCATCACAGAATATGGATGTGTAGCATACTATCAGGGCTGCAGATAGAACAATTCATGGGAGAACAAATATTCAAAAGGAACATCCTAAGGGATTTTTGCCATCAGCCCTTCGGCGGCCATACATGTAGAACTTCCATAGGATAGGCAATGCCTTCGTACGAGGAGGAGAAATGAACACAAGATAAAGAAAGTATTGCACCAAAGTTCACGCAAAGCATTTACAATGTATTAAATAAAAAGGACAATCCGCCCTCTAAAAGTCTGCTCGTGATCCAACAGTATTATATGTGAAAGGCAGAAGACCTGGAACAGATGAACATTTCAATCTCGCCTGCTGCATTAACTATATGGAACTAAAGTGAATGACATACCCATTGCCTTTGCGCGTTTGATTGCCTTTGTCATTTTTCGTTGATTTGCCGTGCTTAATCCTGGGTAGAGAAATTTGAGATATTGTCTCCGTCGCTATGATTTGAGACTACCCAAGCCCATACCTGTCTGACTTTTTGGCTTCATGTATGCCATTCGCGTTAAAAATCTCGATAGAAACGTCGTATCCTATTCGGCAGCCCAAGTCAAACGAATGATCCAACAAACACGGTAAAATATTCTACACGGTACGTACCCGATACACCTTCAAAGGATTTATTCCATACTTTTCGCAAACGTCTTCCGGTGCTTGCTTTTGCTTGTCTTTGATGTACTTTTCAATATTTTCATTGTTCAAGTCGGAGGGGACATAGGTCTGTTGCGATATAAAAGGTCAGTTCAGTTGGCCACACTTACCAGTCTACTAGACCAAAAGATTCGTTTCGTACCTCATTTGGCAAAAACCGTCGTTGGGGATGGGGAACGTACTGTACGTCCTGCTTCTTATCGCTTTCTCTGTGTGACTCTTTAAGTCTCCACGTTAGCAAAAATGCACGATGCCAATGTCACATTAACGAGCTCTCACTCACCAAGGTATTTGACAACACCACTTCGTCCAACAATGTTCACTGTAACGAGTAAGCTCACATGTATATTTCATAAAGTTTCAACCGCTACAATTTTCTGGAACTTACAAAGGGAGTTGTCATGACGAGGCTTCCTGGCAAAAGACCGGGTTATTGGCGAGTGGCCAATCGGCTTGGGAAAATGAAAACTTGACCTAGTGGCCGTTTTGCCTATAGTGAAGGCAATCATGACTTGTTCGTCCAAAAGGTAGTTAACAATCCTGCTCAATGAACTGCTTGCAAAGCGTTTGGCAAATTGTTGACATGGCAACGAGAAAAGGAATAAATGGTTAAATGGAAGTGCCAGCCACAGGAACATTGGGGCTTTCAGAAACGGACGAAATGTCTTTACGTTGATCTGCCAGAACACTGAGAGTCTGCCAGCGTCAGGTACAACATCGGCTGGAAGCCTGTTTATTGACTGCTTCCAGTTTGCTTGGACGATATTTCAATAGCCTGTGTCCATTGTCGTTCGGAGCGTTCAGTTATACAGCTTGGTCACCGTCAGTCATCAGCGTGTGAGATCGCTAAGAGAACTCCGCTCGGTTCAACCAACTCAGAATGTCGCTATCTACTACGTTTCAGGGCATGTCTCTTGATGAAAATGGTGCCCTGCAGCCGTCACCTGAGACAATGGCTCAGCCAGCTACTTTCAAAACGTTGACCATGTATCTGCTATTTAAACCAAAGCAAAACGAGCATCAGGGGAGCTATATTGGCCTTTGCGTCGAACCCATGGGAGAACTCTTCAAAATCTCGGCAAGGGGTTTTCAAGACCCCTCTAACAAGGTATTTTCCAGTTTTAAAGGGGCTTGTACATCTGTCTGAGTTGCTAACGCATAGCTCAGAATGTTACCTTGGACTACTTCCAACCTACCCAATACATAGGACGCATTGACAGAATCTTCCAACGTGTAGCCGGGAGAAAAAACAGATTTGCAAAGTGTCAACTTAATGTTACGTTTGCAGATGATATTGTGAAGATGATTCATATACCGGAGGAATCCCGTTGGGTTAGTATGACGAACACTGAGGAGTACTCCCTTGAAGATTTTGAAAGGGTTGCTGACTAGAACACCTCCCCCTATTACTTAGTGCGGAGCCGGTGGACTTTGGCACTAGCACCCGCACCAGGGAATGAACCGGCGACAACCGGTTCGGATAAGCTAATCTAACCAATCTACGCTACGCTATAGCTGGAACGCTTCTGCTGAACCTTTCTGGTCTACCGTGCCCATCCAACATTGATTGCACGATTGTCAGCATATTGCACGTTGCCAGCGTATCTCGATTCCAGTAGCGCATTGTCGTCCAGTCTTGCTGCAAACAGTTAGGGTTGGTACAACCCAGCAAGCCATGGACATCTTCAACCTTGCCTTCTCGTCGCCGCCAAGGTCTTGAATGAGGTCGTTGTTTGAAGTCCTTTTCAAGGAAGTCGTTGTATGAGGCCAAACAGCGAGGGCAAACAGATGAGGTCTTGTGTTCATCAATCAGGAAGCAGTTGATGCGATTGCGCCTGAACAGAATGCGCCAGCCTTTTGTCTTTGATGAGGTCTGAAATTTTGCAGTTCGGCCGGCATCGCTCCAATCACCCATCACAACGGTGAAGTTCCCAAACTTGTCGCGCATGTTGCTTATGAGGTCCGATTCACTTCGCTGCCGATTGATGAAAGAGTGCCACTTCCACCGCGTGTGGGCAGGATGGGAGTAGAACTCCTTGCGACGATCCCAATCAGCGCGGCGAACGAGAAGGTAACGCATGAAGTCCATGAGATTCATCGTCTTGGGGGATGGTATTCGTGAGTCTATGAGGTCAATTCCCGCTTCCTTCTTCATTGCTTCTCGTCTCTTTGCAAATTGCCGGCTGCCAGTCTCCCTGCAGCGTTGATTGGCGGTGTAGCGAAACATTGTCGCACCATTGCTGTCTTGGCAGTAGAGAATGTCGCGCTTGTTTGGGTCGATAACGACAATGTTCTCTGCTGCTCGACAAGCAGGCAAGTTGTTCTCCACATATACCGCTTTAACCTCCGCCTCCATCGTTTTTGCTGACTTTTTCCCACCCCCGCGCCTTCCATACTTGTCGGCATCAGGGTGTTTCAAGTAAACCGACACCGAGGTACCATCCGTCGTGATCGAGCCTTCAAACTGCATACCGCGGCGAGACCGAAAAGCCTTGGTACATAGATTACAGACCCGCAACCACAGATCATCCTTTTCGACCGCTTCTGCTTCTGGACGTGTGATGCAAAGGATATGCTGGTACAGGATGATGGTGTCGATTCGCACGTGACTTTGAATGAGCGAGCGGCGCAGAGGTATTGCACTGAACCGTCGGAAGCCATATCGTTCATACAGCCCAGAGAGTTTGCAGTACGCGGGAAAAAATGACATCGGATCAGCAACAATGGCGTAGGCAAGGGGATTGTTGGGAAGGAATGGGAGATCCAATGACCACATCTCTTCTAGAAGCTCACTCTCTTCAGCAGTCAAGTCATCCAGTGACTCGGGCACGACATCAAAAAGGAAAATCGACTTCAAGTAGCGTAGCCGAGCAAAGAAAGCTTTCCGCACTTCACTCTTTGGAGGAAATTGCCCTTTCCGTCCCTTCACGTCCAGCCGTAGATTGATATATCGGAGCAGCATCGTCATAAAATGCTCTTGAACGTTGACTTTCAGGTTTGTCATCATACTCGCTGTCAGGTAATTGATTGACTGCTGCTCGCCTCGTAGATTTGGATGAACGAAGCCGACGATTTGGCAGTACCGTTGAACGTATGGCAGCAAACTATCCCGCCATGCCTTCTTCGCTTCCTTTCTTGGATGCCAAGCCTCCCCCTTGTTGAGAAGATACAGGATGCCTTCGATTGTATCTTCATTTACCGTGGGAAAGGTTGGTGCTGAAAGGAGATAGAATTTCAGCGCGTGGGAAGCATGGTCGGCGAGTTGATGGATGATGGCGATGTAATCTAGAAGACGCTGCCGGTAGGTCTCATTAGGTAAGAAAGCCTTTGCAAAGGAAGTCTTGTTGCATGAATGCAGACAGGTAGGTCGATTGTCGAGTTTTTGCTTCTTGTTTGGTGGCATGATGATTGGAATAGAAAAATGGATGAACGCCTGGGAAATGGGCAGAGAATGATATGGGGGGGGGGTTATATAGAAATATGACAACTGCGCACGTTGGACCCGTTTTTCAATGGTGGAGCAACTGCAGAATATTCAATCATTTATTGCCGCACATATTGGACCCGTGTGGCAACTGCAGAATATTCAATCATTTATTGCCGCACATATTGGACCCGTTTTTCAATGGTGGAGCATCGTTTGCATCGAACCATATCGAACCATAGTTCATGTGCCTAAATCGAGTAAAATTATGATTGAATTGGTTGCAATCACTGTACTAGTGCCAAAGTCCACCGGCTCCGCACTATGATTTCAATCGGATTCTTTTTTTCTGAAATGTAACTATTACATACAATATCTATAAATATCTGCCCATGCGCAGGATGCTTGGGGACATGCAAACTTGACCTAGTGGCCGTCTTGCCCAGTATGAAAGCAATCGTGATTTGTTCGTCTTGGTCTGCTGCGTTCAGAGGGACATGGCAACGACAACAGTCAGAAATGGTTAAATGAAAGCACCAGCCACAAGGGGTGGTCGATCACCATCGTGTCACTGCGATCATGGCATTGCATATTGGGTGCTCTCTGGTGCGAATCTAGTTCTACACGCACCCATGTACTGTCACAGCATGATCTTTTCTTTTCGGGAGCAACCAGGACCGACAAAAGTGAGCATGCCGGATAGCTTGGTGCATCTGCAGTGCAATGTTTGTGCAATGGGCATGGCTCAGGTACGACAATTTGCAACTGTTTGTCTGGCTACAGAGGTGATGGATCACTTTCACCATCACACGTCCACAATAGGATTGAAACCCATTGTCACCTTGTTTATCAAAATGCACTCCCCATTCAAACCCTCTCTACCCTCGTGTTTGTCCATCATCAAACTCCACAAGAGTGTGTGGGGTTGTCACGGCCGCCGTGGCCCCCCATGCCCCGTCTCTCGCCGTACGCCCAAAAACACAACGCTGCCTTTCCCCAAAAGTGCGAGAAATTTGCGATTGGAGAGATAGTGGTGGCACAGTCATGATCTCCTCCGCATAAACGCCTCATTGAAACATGATTGGCGCCTTTTCCATCGTTTCATAAAGTGTTTTTAGAGTCCTTGTCGCGGCTTATTTAAAGGCGAGGGGTTTTTGCCCTCTCCCTCCCTCCAGTCGCCCACTTGCATAAAACCCTCGCGTTCTTTGCCCATCCCAACACACACACACACACACAGAAACCTCTTAGTAGTTATCATGTTCAAGACTATCGCAACTCTCCTTGTCCTGGCTACTGCCGCCGTGCAGAGCATACATGGACACGTTACATGTGTGCCTCCTGTTGGAGTGCCCGGAAAGAATGTGCAGACGGCTCTCCGTGTTCGTAAGTATTTTGTATCTGCCATCAAGCGTCTACTACAAACTTGCTCACTTTTTTCAACTTGCAGCACATGGATGCAATCACACCGCAACCATCAGCGTTACCGTAAAGGTCCCTCAGAACGTAACGAGCTTCAAGCCCCAATTGGTCCCCAACTGGCAACTGGCTATCACACAGCGCCCTCTTCCTCAACCCGTCGTCAGCGAGGGTGGCACAGTCAATACGACCACCGACACGGTCACGTGGCATGGCGGCTTCCTTCCCGACACCGCCTACATGGACTTTGGTTTCCAGGCTCTCCTTCCTGACGGACCTGATGGATCTGTCGTCTACTTTGAAACCTCTCAGTTGTGCGAGAACGGTCAGACCACTAACTGGAATGGTACTGCTACTCCCAAGATCACCTTGATGAAGAATGGAACATTGTTGTCGTCGTCAGTCTTTGGTGGCAGCAACTCTTCGATGGGACCTGCCCAAGCGACCAAGAGCTCTGCTTCAGCTTTGGCTGTGAGTGCTGGGACATTGGTGTTGGTCGTTGGGTCCATGGTTGGTTTGATGTAAATTATGTAAAATAGGACAATCTTACACAAAAGATCTGGGATGGGGGAGAAAATCATGCGGGGCTGGTCTCTCATGCTATAAAAATGTGAATAATATAAGTGGCATCAAGTTTACTCGCTGACAGGTTGTGTGAGCGTCTTGTTCAGCCAAGGAGGGCGATATTGCTCTGTGATGGGTATCTAAGATCTCGCCCGCGTTAGATCACCAAAATTGTCGACGTGATGTGATGTCCAGCTCTCGAGTGGAGCAAGGTCCAACGGTGTTCACTTTCGAGAGACCAGGCTAGATAAAAGAAAGCGCAGCACCTTGTACTGTAGAACCGAATCAAAGTGTTCCGTTTGCATAACGGTCACTGGAAAAATCCAAAATGATTGTTCACAACGATGGGCCTAGGCCAACTTTTCAAACCAGTGTGGGTGTTCGATTGACATGGTAGATTACTGATTTCGATGCTGCAGAATGAGCGCTTCAGCGGAAGAACCATTGGCGATATTGTTGTGGTAGGATGACATACATGAAGCCGAAACGTAGTGAGGAATGACGTAAATCGACATGCTGGGCAGGAACATGATCTTTACGGAGGAAATCGCATCGAAATTAAGGCATCTTTGCCATTACTTTGGAGAGACAGATTTGATACAACGATGACTAGCGATTCTTTGAACGCCTGACAGTGACAGCCAGAGATGGTGAATACCTGGATAACAATAAGGATGACTGCAAGGTGAATAGTAGCACGCGGATCTCCGCAGACAGCCAACTGCCTGTCAGTAAGGAGCGACAAAGAACATGGTACATTTTAATGCAGGTTCTCTCATTATATAGTCATCCAATGAGCCTTTGTGTATTGCATGGACAAGGGCCAGTCGTGTCTAAATTAACGTCGATCGATTATACGCTATCTTTTTAGAATTTACACACAACGAATACATTCAAAGGCTTGCTCCCTTTCCCTTTTATTGGCGTCCAATTTGCTGCGTTTTGCAAGCGTCCTGCATATCCTTTTCTGGTTGGGTAAACGTAAGCTGATCGTAGCGATTATAATTATTTAACACGTGACGATTCGTGATCATAAGTTTATAACCCGTCTCGTCATCAACAACACAAGCTTCCACCGCTTCCCAGGTCAGATCTGCAAGTCATGCCCACATTTCTCGCATGCCCATATCAGCCCATTGTTATTGAAGATCTATATGCAGGACAACGCATAAGTGGTCTGGACCATGCGCCAACCTGGGTGGGTATGCCGTAGTCATAAAAGTTTACACGATCTCATTGACAACTCAACTTGCTGTGAAGCGAATGAACTTGACTGCCGCCAGTGTACGGGATAGCGACGTTTTCTTTGTAGCCGTTAATCAGCAAATCAATGTCTATCGTAATCCGCATCGGTTCGATAAGCGCTTCTCGATTGCACCGTATCGTGTGCTCAAGAGTGGTTCTGGTGAGGTGCGTGAGGATTTCTTTGGGGGAAATATCGGCCAGCTCATACGCTTTGCGAGGTTTTATTAATCGACTCTTTGCGTTTTTATTTCTCACTACCAGGAACATGATGGACCGATCAATGCCATTCGAGTCGGAGAAATCGGAACCGAAGAAGTCCTTGTAGCAGTTGACGACAACCACCTCGTCCACGTCTGGTTCACCGCAGATCTAGATCGCCACCCAATTGTACTGCAGTGCGTTACAAGACACTGTTCAGTTGTGCCCTCATGGTGTGATGGTTGACGGGCCTTCTTTTTGCACGTCAAAAAAGGCATCGAGACTCGGCGTGGGGCATTGCGATACACGGACCGTCGTATTTACTCGCTGTTTCGGCTAATTCGCATACTATTATGGTATGGAATCTGAGGTCAAGCTATCAAAGCCATGGCAATTTCGTCAGTGACAGAGATGGCGATCCACTCGGCGGCGTTGAGAAGAGAGAGCTTGTGGGACACGAACATAATGTTCCTGCCATTGACTTCAGTTCATGTGGGAGGTACCTGCTATCATGTTCTATAGGTGTTATATTCTGTTTGCGATATCCGCAAGATGGTGTCAGCAATCTGATTCATGGGACCCTTTTAGATTGCACTCTCCGAATATGGAACATCAAAACTGGCGAGACTCTTTATTCTCGCGAAGTAGACGGGCAATGGTACTGCAGCATATCTATAGCCACGGTCTCCATTTAAAATTATTCTAATGTTTCATCGTCCAGGGGGTGGGTTGCCCGCTTCATTCAGCCCTCATTGTTCAAACACATACCGTCATCCACGCCAGATGAATGCAACCCATTCAAACGACGTCGCGAGGATGTATTGCAAACGCTACGGCAACGGCTTGTACCCGATACTGGCCCCTCGGTACCCGATACAACGTCTAATCAGCAGAGGGACACGGCGTCCGAGGCTTCACAGGAGGATTTTGGCGACAACTCTGATTCTGATGTCGAGCCCGTCAGAATGGATGATACTGATTACGACAGTGTTCTTGATGTTGACGAGGAGCCAATTGAGGTGGAGCGAGTAGCTACTGGTGATACGTGCATGGTCATGGATTTACCGGAAGATATGGCCCTTGAATCCCCATTCCCGACAAATCCTTTCCCAGAAAACGACACATCCCCATCCGTTCCTCAAAATGAGCTGGAAACAACAAATGGTGAAGACCCTGACTCAGAATCCCGCTTAGCTATGTTCCTCATGGACCACACCAGCAATCTTTCCACCCTGGCCGAACCTCTTGACAGCGATCCAATGGATGCAACCACCTCGCTGACTGGATACCCCGCACCCAATCTCGAAGACGAGGGGGCCAGCGAATGGTCTTCCATATTGGATGAAAATGAAAGCTTTTCTAGCATCCCCCCCTTGCCGCCGCAAATAACAGATAGTGACTCTGATACATCTCAAATCGTTGATGAATCTGATGATTCTGCCTCAACTGATACAGAATCCTATTACCCCTTTGTTTACCGCCCGTTAAGCTGGTGGAGACAGTGGCGGCAGCGGCCAATGGTCCCAACGCCCCCACACAGCATCAAATTAGCAGGCGACCTTCCGCGAGATTTGATCCTCTGCACGAGTGTCGATAATCTTTTTCTTTTGCACACGGAGACGCTGAACACGCTGCATATGATACAAAAGGTCATTAGTCGGTTCGATCCCAGGATGGACCCTGTTTTGAATTTGTATGATCGTGAGTGTTCCGCATATTTGTATTTGGGACAACGTATTGGGTTGTTTCTAATGAACTTTATTAGGACTGTGCATGGTGGAATGGATTGAGGAATTGAGTGCCGCGGTTGTGGCAAGTCAAAAGGGAACAGCAGCACTTATCCGGCTCTTACGGTACATACCGTGATCACTCTCGTTGAACCAGATGGCACTGTTTTCTTAAAAGACGGCATCCGTTTTTCAGAACCCACGATAAGGCAACTAGTGAGAGTAAATTCATGCTCGTAAGTTTTAAATATTCCTGGTGGCCTTTTGCGAGGCTTAATTTTGGGTTCAACCACAGGCCGTGGAAGATGTCCTTCCGCATCACGTCCCACCTAATGCGCCCTTACTTGGCATGTTTGTTTCCAAACATCCGTCACCCGTGGATGCTGCTTTGTCATTTTATCGAGTTCATTTTCGTGAGTACAAAGCATTAAATACAAATTATTTATTGTATCTCGAAACTGACGTTGGTTCGCTTTTTTTGTTAGTATACGCTGATGCGAGAATGTATGGTTACGAATTATCTGTTTCATCAGTCATCAACCCTGTTGCGATCAACCGAGTGGTTGTGTGACGGGTTAGCATTATGTAAATTGTCCAAGTTCATTGCAATAAAAGAGGGGCGGATAGTCTGCGGAAACAATTCTCAAGAAAACGCTTTCTATTCACTACAGCCATAAACAGCATTCAAAAGATTGTAATGTAATTGTTAATCCTGTCCTTCTGCTGCTGAGCGATACACTCCGCTATCCACACAATATTGCGAATCTCCTGTTCCTTCAATTTGACGTAAGCGTAAAATACGCCGTATTGGAATTGCTGCGTAAAGGCCCGTTTGTTCAGGTGGACTTCGTACTCAAAGAATTTGTCTTCGAGCGATCGGTCCGATCCGACGGGAATGTCAAAGAATTGTTTGTACTCCTGTAAACAAAATGGTTGGTATGCTTGGTTGAAAATGGCATTGACCAGTTGGCAAAGGGATGCCACGCTTACCGGGTAATTTTCTACGGCCAGACGAACTTGGTCTACATCATCCGCACGAGCAAGCTTATAAGTTCCCTCTGGGTACAGTCTTCCGCAAGTCGGAAACAGCTTTGCTCGGTCATCCTTGCTAAGCTCTGTGTTTAGAGAGTTGATCGTGATGTTGATGACTCGGCGGTCTGCTTCAAACTATGCGACAGCGACATGAGCCAGCGCACAACGTGACACGCAAGATTGTCATTTTCGCGCCTACCTGCAGAATCTCTCCCATAACCTCGGCAGTCGGTCCACCCAATTGCAAACAATAGCCATAGAAATCCTCCAAGTAAGCTTTGTACAGCGTGTTCCGGATGATTTCAATGTTCATTTCATCCAAGTCCTGCGCTGAAAGGCATTTTTCAAAGTACGGTGCTAAAATCATGAAAGGACATTTAGTACACTCCGTTTTGATACATTATCAGTTGAGGCCAGTTTACCTAATGGGGACTCAACCAAGACAGTGTTAAAGAGTTCCGCAACATTTGTTGCGACACATAGCGCTGCGATACCATCGAACATGCCAAGAGGGTGACATCGCTCTAATAGATCGTTTGTATCGCGTTCGTGAAGCGTACCGGTAATCAAGAGGATGGTATTGTCTATCATGTATGCATAGCTGACAAACAAATCAATGCAGAGGTTAACTGGAGGCTCAGCTCTCGAGGTCTCAGAAATCAACTGAAAAACGCTTTGTGTCTCCGTCCGATTGCATCAACGTTGTGAAACCCGCCCTACACTCTTCCCCATAGCCTATACAACAGAAAACTCACGTAATGTAATCCAAAAACGTTGCCAAAGGCTTCACTGCATTCGCCCTCATGTACTGGAAATGCGACACGAGCGTTTCACGGGCCTTATCTGCAATAGTCGTGGTTGCCAACGGAGAAGGTTCATTCTGCAAGAAGTTTCCATAATCGGTAGATGCAAGCTGCAGTTTGAGGTCTGCGTCGATGAAATTCGCGTGAGCAGTGGAACCAATATGTTTTGAAACATGCTTTTATAACGCAATTCATAATATGCCACGCACCATCCAACGTCTCACACTGCGTCAAATTGATATAATTCGTCGAATTAAGAATTCCAGCCTTGTACCCACGGACCATGGCCTCAAGGAACCCGTCCTCAACGTTAAAGAACAGAGCCTCCATTGCAAACTTTGAGGAAACAGAAACGGTTTTTTTTGGGCGAACAAGAAGCTAAACGCCGTGATGGGCGGAAATAGATAGCGTGCGTACGTCGATTTAAATGTTGTTTTAGATATCCAGAACGTCGGGAAATACGCGGTGAGGTAGGCCGTGGGGACTCTGGATGGATGAAAGGAAGATGGCTGCTGATCCCCCGCTGGCACTTTCCAACTTTCTGATCACGTGTGGCCGTTAGTTATGTAATCGCTCTTCCTCTTGACCTTCTTATCCTCTGCCAACAATCTGTCAAACTGTCTTGCAGGAGTCGAGTTACAGTATTCAAATGGTATTTTCTCCCCAAGCGTGACGTCTTGTCAATGTATCAGACGAGCTTCGCATTATTTTGTACAGCAGATGGCTTCAGTCGATCATGTTTCTTGACCATACAGTGATGTGTAGAAGCGATGATTGGTATAATCAGAATGAAAAATACTCCACTTCATGGACTTTCCTTTGCATCGGAGCAATCAGTAGTTTTTCAATTCATATACTTTTGTGCGTGACTTTCAATTGCTACTCGCTGCACCAGATGACGATCATTCGGAGAGATGCAAACCCAGTAACTATTTAATCAGTTAAGTTGAGGTGAATCTGATGCTGGTCACTGCATACATTTGCTGCCTTTTGATGCAATTCCGTTGGTTTCCGCAACAGAAAGATAGATTAGCGGTATCCATCTTTTGGACGCGAGCGCCCCCACCAGCGTCACCATGATCCAACGCGGCTGTGACATAATCCCCCCGTCGATCATCACTTTGTCGCTGATATAAAAAGGACAAACGAGCACCTGTTCTAGCAGCACATCCAAAAAGCACGCATCCTCTTTTACTGTTCTTTGACAACATCATGCAAATAGACAAACGTATTGAAAACCCTGACAAACCTGATGTCCCTTCAGCAGAAGTCGAGGTTCTTCAAAGGTATGAGTTTGACAACAGATTATCATCTGGAAGAAAAGGATTTTAATGAGCGGACATTGCTGCACCCTACAGAGCCATTCCAGATGAAGCATCTCGTCGCAAACTCTCATCCGAGCCAAAGCCGCCTTCCACATTTGTAACGGCTGCAAATGATGGCCGCAAGCTGAATCCTCCCTCAAACCCACCAAAACCAATGCACACCCTTCCCGAAGATGCTCGATCTCCCCATCGCGACTTGCCCAACTCATCTTCCCAAGCACAGCCAATCGCCCATCTCAAAAACAGCAAAGGTGAATCGTCTGCTCCTTCGTCCAGCGACAGTGAGGATGCCGGCCGTCATGAGAAGGAGAAAGATAGACGAAGGGAAGGCGGTGGTGTTCCTCCACCCCCTCAGAAAGGCCCAATTCATTCTGGTGGATTAGCTAACGCAGAAAGTGGGACAGGAAGGCCAATGGGCAAGAGTCGGTTGTAAAATGACTTCAATATCCCAATAATCGCTTGTACATTTTGATGAATGATATTTCACTGCTGTCCTTCACTTGTAAAACTCTTTACAAACATGCATGAAAAATATCTCAATCATGAAAGTCTAACCCCAATAAATATCGACAAAAAGCCCACAGCCCAAAAGGCTTAACGATATCTCCATCACAGCCCATGTGTCAAATCGGGGGGAGGTGTGAAACTCGCTGTTGCCATGGCAGCTGCTCAGCCCTCAGCTATCCTGCCACAAGATATTTTCTTTCCCGCGACTTTATATCAAGGCGAAAATCCAACGGAAAGCCCGCCCTTCTCGCAGCATTTTCAGTTCGGAACCTTTGGCAGGCTTCAGCGCACAGTAACGAAACTTGTCGCAGTCGAGGTTCGACGTGAATTTGCCTCAAGGATAAGGAATTTGGAAAGGTGCAAAGGTAGGGAAATGGCAAAAGTTGTTTAGCTGCGCACACCTGGGGGGCAGTGTTAGTCCCTGCTGGGTTGTCGGAGTACATTGGCATTCTCGTTAAAGAGTTCATCTTGCATACTGCTTAATAGGCTGACCACCAGATCATCACACAGGTTCGCGCCCTCCTCGCCCGATACTACCAGCTTCCAGTTTTTTCGTAGCAAGGACCCTTGTGAAAGACTCAAAAGTTGCAGAATGCCCCGAATAACGCGACATCGCAACCGCGGGGCGAGTGGACTCCTTCCCCTTCTGTTGATCGCACTCTGTCTGTTGGCTTCCACCTTTGTGGGTGTATACGGGCAACCGTTGCCATCACAGACTGCGACCAGAGGCCCAATAGTGGATCCCCCAAACACGGAGCAGATTCCGCGTCCTCCTACTTCTAGCGTCCCACCAACGTCGTCGAATCCCGTCCCGCCTTCGTCCACAACGGCGCCCGCGCCCCCACCCTCGTCCTCATCGGCACCCCCATCGCCACCACCCACAAGCACGACAGCGGCCCCGCCCCCGCCGGTATCGTCGCAGCCAACACAGCCTGCGCCATCTCCTCGTGCATCCACCACTGCCGCACCTCTACCGCCATCGCCGGTAGTGATCACCCCACCACCGACGTCGCGTACCCAGCTGATCACTTTCACGTCAAATGGAACTCCTAGGGTTACCGCGACCGTGATAGTAGATATTCCTCCTGCGATCACAACCACCCCGGTGACAGGCGCTGTCCCTATCGAAGGAGTAAACGATTCTGGTCAAAATGCAGGAAAGAAGACGGCGGTCATTGTGGGGAGCATAATCGGCGGCTTGTTCTCTATGGCCGTTATTGGGCTAGTTGGTACGGGTGTGGTACGTTGGCGTCAACGGGCCAGAAAGGGTGACAATGAAGAATTCGGACGCTCGAAACCCATGTCTGATCTTTTTGGTGCTAACAACAAGTTTTTGCGCCCCACAAGTCCGCCTAGTGTACAGCATGAGGAAATTGTGACGTCTGCCCCCGAGCGGCCTATGAGTGGAGGCTACCCTACAGCAGGCGGGTACAGTCCGGTTGGCTTTGGAGGCGTGTCACCGCAACCGGATTTTCAGAGTATGAACCCGTCAATGTATAACTACGGTGGCGGCGGAGTTGATGGAGTATCAAGTGGGCACTATGGCACTCTTCCAGTATCAAGTGGAGTTGAAGTTTTACCTGGAAACAGTCAGTGGGGCACTCCTGGTACACTTCCCTCCCCGAATGCCGGACTTGGTGGAATGGATGCAATGGGACCTGGTCAATGGGGAAGTGGAAACGTACCGTCACCGGCCGGGCCGGGCGGAGTCGAAGTAGTTTCTCCTGGTACGGGTGGACCGTGGACCGCCCCTTCGGGTCCGTCATATCCGGTCTCGTACACCGGTTTCGGCAATCTTGCCCCAGTTCATGAGATTCTTCCTGTGGGCGTTGCTTTGAACTCTTTAAGGACCGCTCCGTCTGGCTCGTCCCTTGAGAGGAAATCATCACTGCCAGCCAACAGGACGTCGCGCACCCCATCGGCAGAGACGATGGTTGAGTCGCACGAAGGACCTTCTGGTGCTCATGGATCAACTCAGAACACAATCGCAGAGCCCCCGGCGCAGGCGCCAGGATTTGCATTTGTGTACAAGGCAGCGGAAGCAGCAGCAGAGGCAGCTACTGCCAGTGGATCCTCCCATGGCCCTCCTTACGAGACTTTGCCAGCCTACCAGACGTTCGCTCGATCTGACGACGGCAGTCAAGGTGATTCCAGTACGCCTGTAGCTGCTCCAGACTCTAAGCACCTGTCGCAAGACTTGGGCCAAAAGAGAGTTGCTACCATGGCCTTCAAGCCTTCACAGCCTGATGAGATTGTCATCATTCCTGGTGATGCTGTTGTCATAAGGTAATTGTTGTTATCCACTTATTACTTGAAAAGAGAATACATGTCTCAGTTTTTCTTTTTGAATTCTCTAGCCAAGCCTTCAGTGACGGCTGGTGTACAGGGACAAATCTCCGTACTGGGCAACACGGTGCCTTCCCAATGACAATCCTCGCGCCGCAGTCATCATCCTGATTTTATGCCATTTATAAATGACAGTTATTCTGTGTGTCTTGTTATATTGACATTTACTCTGTATCTAGCTGTTTTTGGTTTTTTATGTAGTTTGTGCTCTGTGTTTATTAAAGTAGGTAGCCCTAGAAAATAGAAAAGTCGCCTTGTACGAATGATATCACGTGGGCGTAAAACACGTGCCATTCTCCCTCAATTGCTTTCTTTTGGTTCATCCTCTTTTGACTTTTTATTCCAGGTGATCTGTGGTATAGATCAGCAAAGCTTTTGTTCATTGCCTTTACTCAGACTTGCACCACAGATATTTTGAATAGGCATATCGACTCTAGCACCCGCCACTCACCACCATGTCCTCCCTCCGCAACGCCGTTCAACGAAGAAACCACCGGGAGAGAGGCCAACTCGCCTCCCGAGAACGGTTAGGTCTCCTCGAAAAACACAAAGACTATGTCCTCCGAGCCCGAGACTACCACAAAAAGCAAAATGCTCTCAAAACACTCCGTCAAAAGGCCGCCTTCCGGAATCCTGATGAGTTCTACTTTGGCATGATCAATGCAAAAACCAAGAAGGGTGTACATATTGTGGAACGACAAGAGAAATTTGAGCATGATTTCTTGCGATTGTTAAAGACGCAGGATCAGAACTATGTAAATTATCAAAGGAGTATCAATGGGAAGAAGATTGAGAGGTTAAAGGATCGACTACACATGTTGGAAGGTGAGGAGGAGGAGGAAGAGGAGGAGGAAGACGGGATGGAATTGGGGGATGAGAGTGATGGAGAGGGTGAAAGTGAGCCAAGAGTAAAGTCGAAACCAAGACATACGATTTTTGTGGATGATGAGGCGGAAGGTGTGTTTGGTTTGAGGGTTCTACGTTCATTGGACGTAATACTAAATCAACACTTTTCAATTGTCCAGCCAAAGCCTTTGATCCATCAACCTACTTTGACACCCCCGCCGAGCTCCTCCATCGAAAATTCAACCGGCCCACAACTGCCATGCTCAAAACGGCCGATATATCCCTACCCGATCCAAAAACCCAAAAAAAGCTGGACAAGCAGCGTGAAAGTTCCTATCGGGAACTGTCATCCCGTCTTGCTCGTGAGGAACAATTGCGGAAAGCTCAATTGGAGATGGAGTTACAAAAGAATTTGATGGGAAAAGGTGCCAAGAAGAAGGTTGGGGTGGATCAGCAGGGGTTGCCGGTATATAAGTGGAAAGCGCAGAGAAAGAAGTAGCGATGGTAAATAGTTTGTATATTAGCCCATGGCGTTAGATTTGTCATTGTATTTATAGAATAGCACGACTAGCGTGAATAGTGTAGTGGATATGCCTTGGTAGGCTGGAAATTTGTCAACCACCCTTGCCATACTTGAGCGGGTTGCCGAGAATCAGCAAGGCGTTTGAACCACTGTGGGAAACTCACCAGGTTTCGGCGGGACGCCTTACTGAATTCCAACGAAAAGGGCGAAAACGGAACATACTACCCAAAACCAAAAGCACATAATACTGCGTTTGCATCTATTCTATATGTGATATGCATTGCCCATCATCTACCTTTATAACAAAGCTACAATTCACCCAGAAACTAACATTCGACCAAATCCGTCAGAGCCCTTATAAACCTCTTGAACCCTTCCGCCTCCCCAACCTCCTCACGACCGTACGCTTCATAAGCAATCTCAATCCCCTGGTACTTTTGCAAACACAGTTTACGCAAACTGTGACTGGTGGGTTCGCTGAAAGCTTTTGCTTCTGCCAGCGTGTCCAGGAGGATGAGGATGCTAGCCCAATAAGTTGATGGGTGGGGTGTCTGCGGGGGTTGAGATGTGAGTGGGGAGGAGGGGAGGGCGGTAAGAGAGGGTGTGCTTGTCATGGGTGTCAACTGGAATGTTCGAGGACGTCATGTTAGTCGATATTGCAAAAGAGTAATAGAAGCAGTTGAAAATGGATTCACCTGTAAAGTCCGCACGTCCCTCCCCGCCGCCGCTGACTCTTGAACCAATGCCGCCGGCCCAATACCACTCATCTGATCTTCCTCGCCTTCATCACCACCCGCATCCACGTCCTCCGACAAAGGACGCCCATCGGCACCCGCCCGACAATTTTCATACAAATATTTTAGAAATGCGATTAAAGGCTCCAGCTCGCTTTTATCAACCATCAAGACACCCGGATCCTCATTCTGCGTGGGTACAATCTCAACAGGCCGTTCAGATGCTTGTCTACTTCGGGCTTTTGAGTTTTTCTGCCCATGAAGCGGGGGTAAAATGTCTTTGGCGTAGATTAACTGCGGTTTGAAAGGGTATTTGAGAGATGTTCTGTGATGGGTTGTGATGACGGCGAGCGATGTAAATACTTCGCGGAGAGTGGAGGACGAGGTGTTGATCTGGTTGAGGAAAAAATGTCAAGGTGGGATTGCGTTGAGCGAATGCAAGATTTACTGGGTACATACGTTTCGAAATGGGTTGAGAAGGGTGTTTAGTGTGTAGAGAGTTCCTTTGTCCATTTGATGCAGGAGCGTAAGGTGGTCACTGGTTTGAAGGGATGCCAAGTGGGTGGATAGTACGAGAGGATCCTGTCTGACATTGAGTGCAGTGAAACGACATTGATAGAGGAAACATGACCGGTACCTTCAGAGATGTAATCCAATATAGGAGCGTGTGAACGAGAGGAATCGCATCAGTGAACGACTTGACTATTGACCAGTTTCCAGAATTGATTTCTGCCTTTGATGCAAGATTGGGGATGTTAGATATCGAATAACTGGCGAGATATGGTTAGGTTTGAACGTTTACCTGGAGATCAATCATCTTTTCCGGCACCACTGCCAATCCCTCAAAATACCTAAACGCATCCACCACCTTCGTCGCCATATCCTCCTTCTCGCACATCTCGGTCAACTTTTCCACGATCGCCCATATCACCTGTTACCAAAACTTCCAGGTCAATGTCACATTCCCAACTTTGAAACCCAGCACGTCGTTGGGAAAGTACACACCTTTGGAACAAATCTCAACTGCCTCTGCTCCTTGCCATGAAAATACCGACGCTGATTCTCCAAAAACGTTTCAAAGGTTATTAAACTGACGCTCGAGTACTCGGTGGGAGATTTGGAGCATATCCCCGGAAAATAGACTTTGAATGGTTTGATGTATTCTTCAAATTGCAGGACAAAGAGAGCCTGTTTACGGGTTTGGACTGAAAGAGGTCTTTTGGAGGCTTCGCATCAACCACAATCATGGTTGGGCGTCGTTGCAATGAAATACCTTTGTTTCCGGACGAGTTCGATGGCCTATTGAGATTACAATGAGTTTTTTAAAAAGTTTGTGAACTGCATTTCAATTCATACTTGCCTTATTCCCGTCCATGTTCAGTCCATAAACAAGGTAACAGGCAATTGCCAGTCCCGTTCTTCCTACATCAATAAACATCAGACGTTCATTCTCACATGTGAGTTTGGACAATGTTAAATACCTAGGCCAGCATGACAATGCACCGCAATCTAATCAAAAGTACGTGGGAGTGAATAAGGGTCTAGAGGATACTATCAATGAGTATATGATCAGCATTCCAGACCGACTTTTTGTCCTTCCTCGAGCGCGTAGGCCATGACTTGAGCGATACTGAGCATGTGGCTAAAGTCAGGCACGTTCTATGCACGACGGTCAGGATGAGATGCAAAAAGTAGCAAGGCATGGATCATGAATACCATGTCTTGCCTTTTCAAAAAGTTAGAAGTGCGGAATGCAAAGCTTACAGAGCAATGGGGATTACTTACCATCCAAAGTTATAGTAAAACGCTGCGTACGATAGATCAATCAACACACTCGTACTCAACAATCAGAACTCTTGATAGCAAACAGCAAATATTTACCTCCAGCATCCATCCATACTTCGGGAAGGTAACTGAACCCACTCGTAAGCTCAATACCATCACCACAACTCGCATGCTCGCCAAACTCTTCCAAATTGAAGATGGACCCAATGCCCAGTTGTCGGAACTTGCTGGTGAGATTGTATTCAGATATGAGACGAGTGGAAGGGCGCTGCATGGCTAGGATATTTTCTGTTATCCTTTCAGTGTCAAGAAAACTTGCGTGAGTGAGGTGATGGTTGGATTAAAACTCTAGAATGAATTACCAATTTGAATATAATCCATCAATGGCGTTGTTTTTCGTTTTTTCAGCCCATAATTTCCAGTTTTCCCATTTACAGTCCTTCCCTCCGCAGAAGAAGCAATGGATGGCGCTCATGTTTGAGGAAAAGGAAGCTTGGTCAAAGGCGGAGTGAAAGGTCAATTCCTTGTTGACATCAACCGCGTCTGTCACGTGATTACGGCTTTGGAGCAGGAACTGAGACGAGTTTATGGAACTTTTTGACGGTTTACTGACCCTGGGTATTGTACGATCTGGGAGGGGGGGATCTGATCACGACCGGCTTGTTTGGTAGTGAGCAGCACATGTCCAGCGATTTTTATGAAGCCCAACGACTTAAACGACGGCGAAGTGCCGGGATGTAAGTAACATGACACTATAAGGCATGTTTTTCCACGACAGGTCGCTAATCCCTTTACATTATTAGGAGACCCAAAACCCGCAACATGTATCGCGCCTTCCTCTCCGTATCCAGAAACCTCATCCGTCTCAGTATCTATAACCCGTTTGTCCTATTATGGATTGTAAACGTCTTTGTCTGCGAAGTTTGGTTATCGAGGGCGTATATCGGGCGGTGTTCTTGGCCGGCTAGTGATCAGGTTAGACGGGTTCATGGCTGATCGTTTGTGAGAAAGTTGGGCTGATGATGTGAGGGGGTTACAAACAGGATGGAGCGAACCCAATACGAGTGGTCGTTATTGCAGATCCACAGTTGACCGATGCATATTCTTATTCCCAATCCGTAAGTCATGATCTCCAGCATCCAGCCGACCATATAATTGTTGGCCCACCGCTCAGTTTTCACTCTTTTCTATCTGTTAGGGACTGGGCCTCGCCTTGACCCAGTTCTACTCTGATCTGTACATGAAGCGGAACTTTAAGGTCCTTCAATCGAAATTGGAGCCCGATGTAGTGGTTTTCTTGGGGGATATCATGGATGGAGGGCGGGAATGGGCGGATGATCAGGTGTAAGTTTTAATTTCTTGAAAGTTCCCCGTCATGGTCATAAAAGTAACAGTTGGGTGGCCAGTTTCGAAGAAGAGCTACAAAGGGTGCGCAGAGTATTCTGGATACGAAGTCCAAAGACGCGGGTATTGTGGGTGGCAGGGAACCACGATATAGGGTTTGGCAATAAAGGTAAGTGATCCTTAGTGGAGGTGTACGTCTTTCCCATCCATGGTTGACGGGACCCATGTCAGTCCTCCCAGACGCCTACGCCCGCTTTCGCAAAACATTTGGCGAACCCAACTACGCTGTCGACCTTGCCAACTTTACTGTAGTTGCTCTGGACACTGTTAGCCTGAGCGGAACCCCCGGCCCAATACATTACGACAAAGCCCGCACATTTTTGGATTCTTTCAAAGGTAAAGCTTGACCAATTATTTAAACACATTCTTGTCGCCATGTACTTAGAAAGATACAAGATCCCTCCCAAAAATCCCGTGTACTATTGACACACATCCCACTCTTTCGCTCCCACGACGCCGGATGCGGCCCAGGACGACGACACCCCGTAATACATCAAGGCGCGGGCTATCAATACCAAAGTATGATATTGTCTAGTGTTGCCTGACATGCGATACTAACGGGCTCGAATCAGACCTAGTTGTAGAGACTCTTTCTGAGGAAATTTTGACAAAGATTCGACCCAGTATCGTGTTATCCGGAGACGATCACGATTGGTGTATGTTATTCGGATGTGATTGCTGATATGTGGGATGGATGCTGAGCGTTTTCTCTTTTAGGCGAATATACTCATCGAGTTGGCGGTGTGGAGAGCATCGAGGTCCGTTTCCATGTCCATCTTTTATAAATTTTATTGAGGCGATTAGGCTAATGTTTTGAATGAAACGATAGCATACCATTGCAACGTTTTCTTGGATGCAGGTTTGTTTTTTCACTCTTTATTGGTTTTCTGTGCTTTTTCTTACATACTTGTATCACAAAGGGCAATCACTACCCCGGCTTTGCGCTCCTAACCCTTCCCCAAGCAGGAAGCCCCACCCTCCAGGCCTGTACACTTGCACCTCAACTACGTATTTACATTTGGTACATTTTTCTCGCCATCTTAACATTTCTCCTCCTCATTCCGTACTCTGCCTATCAAATACGCCGAAAATCGGTATCCTACGTTGAGATTCCTTTGTTTGGGTATAATCAGCTGAGTGGGCTCCCACGACGACGGAGCAACGTTGGGGAGAGGTGGAAGGTTGATGCCAGGACGTGGAGGTTAGTTGGGAGATTTGTTGGAGAGGTTTTGGGTATGAGTTTGGGCATGTACATGCTTTTTATCATGTGGGATTGGACTGTATAAAGATGGTTTGAAACTAGAGGCTTATTTCAAAGTTGTCGTCACGTGGGTATAATACCCACGTGATAGCGATTCCCGTGGCTTCTGAGACTCACTTGCAGAGTTTGCAATAACTGTCATGCGAAAATTGCCTTTCGATATTATATATTAGCGGCCTATTAGGATAAACACACTAAACACACACAGACAGCGCCCATATGTATAATAAACATGCCCCCCATCCTCATACTATATACTTAGGATAGAGAACACAACACACAAGAGAGATATATATATATATAGAAGAGAAAGGAGACGACGAGTAGATGGTTTGTTTTACATGACAATCTTTGGCTCGAGGATGTTGGCGCCGACGCTTTTGTGGGGTAGGACGCAAGCTCCATTGACATAGACTTCATCGGAGACGTGCACATCCTCACCGAGGACGGTCACTCGCTCCAATCGGGACCACCGTCCAACGGAAGATGACCAGCCGACGATCGAGTCGCGAATCAAGGCATTGTCCTTTACGCGGGAGCCGTCCATGATGACAGCGTCGGAGAGACGGACACCGTCGCCAATAATGGTGTTGGGTCCGAGAACAACGTTGGGGCCAATCTTGCATCCGGCACCAATTGTTGCGGATGGGTGAATAAGGACGTTGCCGACGATTTGTGGACCGGATGCAAGTGTCTCGGGGGTGTGTGATGCCAAGGAGTTGAGGTAGAGTGCGGTTCCTGTGAGAAAGTCTTTTGGTTGACCGACATCGGCCCAGAATCCCTTGAGGGGCATGGCGTGCAATTGACCGTCGCGGGCCATGTGTGGGAATATTTCCTTTTCGATGGAAGTGGGTTTGGGCTCGATGCGGTTAAGGATGGATGGGTTGAAGATGTAGATTCCGGCGTTGATGCAGTCTCCGACGAATTCTTTTGGCTTTTCTACGAATCGGTCAATCTGTGATGTGGATTCCTTGAGTACGACAACACCGTATTTGGAAGGATCGTCAACGGGAGTTGTCATGAGCGTGCCCTCGCAGCCGTGGGATTTGTGAAAGTCCAACATTTCCTTGAAGGGAAACTCGCAAATGACGTCCGAGTTGAGAACGAAAAATGCGGAATCGTCCTTGTTCAACACATCGCGAGCGAGAGCCAATGGACCAGCAGTTCCAAGAGGCTCTGTCTCAATGGAAAAGTGAATCTTGACGTTGAACTCGTGTTCGACTTTTTCCATGGCATCGACCATGGTTTGTGGCTGGTAGTTGACTGCCAAGACAATGTCTGTGACTCCAACTTTGGCGAGTGCCTCAATCTGGTGAAGGATCATGGGGCGGTTTGCAAAGTCGACCAGCGGCTTTGGCTTGGAGAAGGTGAGGGGGCGAAGACGAGTGCCGAAACCACCGACGAGAATGAGAGCCTTCATGTTGATTAGAGAGAGTGTGTGTGTGTTTGAATGTTCTTGTTGCTTGAGCTGCTTGCTTTGCTGCTTTGCTTGTTGCTTGCCGAGTGTCAATGAAAAAATTGGGGAGAACGATGGATGCTCTATTTATACAAGAAATCTCGTTTGCCAATGCATGCTGCGCAAATGCACCCAAAGGGCGCAAAAGCACGCCGAAAGCCTCCCAGAAGCGGTGACAAAAACGCGTCAAAAATCAAACGGCCGAGCCGCATTTTTCACTTGTCTTGTCTCCTTTACCGTCAGTCTGTCGTCACTCAAAATAGAAGATATCTTGGCAAATGTCACTATTTTTATCTTCCGATGATTTATTTACATTGGGGGATATCCCTTGGTTTCTATCATGCATCGGATATTTACATGTCATTTACTGCAACCCAACTATCTGTAAATCCATGGGCCGTCGTAAACAAGATCCTCAAAGCCCGTTAGAGTTTTGTTTTAGATTGGATCCCCCAATAAAGTTTGGCCGTATGTGTGACTCGAGGCGCCCATGCGGCTAAACTTGTGGCTGTGTTTCAGAATATCTTATCGATACTTGGCACGTGTTGCATTTAACCTTTCAGGTATGGAGTTCCACGGTTCGAATCTCGCTGGGGGATAATGGGACAGATAGATTTTTTCATGTGTGTGTTCAACCATGCGTGTGTGATGTGTGTGTGATGGATATCTTTGATGATTGATTGTTGGAAAGCAAAAGCTTGAGGGTTAGGTGGGCTGAAAAGTAAAACGAGAAATGAAGACATGTTGGCAGCCCCATCAAGGACCATTTTGGAACGCATTCAAGATCCTCTAGAGAACACAGCGTCCCTTCTGTCAGAAGCATCCTGTCTCTTGTCCACTGTCAGCAGCAATGACGCTTCGCTAGAACCTCTTGCAGACTGGGTTTACAGCCTTCACCCTCCGCCAGACGCAACATGGATCTACGCAGACGCGCTTTATCACGCTGCGCGTCTGAAATGTGCTCTGGGGAACCCGCTGGACGGGATTGAAGCCCTTTTTGGAGCACTCTTTGCGTTGGACGCTGGCATTGGACTGACAAGGTGGATCACCCATCACCCCGAGAGGCCAGGTGACGACGATGACAAGGTGCTTGATAGCATTCTCCCACGTGGCATGATAGTCGACGCGGAACATGCCAGCGCGGTAGCAAGTGTCGCACGCATAGCACAGGCGCTGGGTATCGTCATGACAAAAGCCGGGAACGCCCGTCACGGCCTGCACATGCATCTGTGTGCGACATTTGCATTTGACCGCCTCAAATTCAACGTCTCCCATCTATCGCACATCCCGCTTTCGATAAGTGAGCATCGGAAGGTGTTCCTGCATGCAATCGATGACGCTTTGGCATTGTCAGATTGTACTGAGCTCGCTGTCGAATTGGCTACAAGATGGGTGACTCTACACGAAGTCGCTCTTGTGGAAGCCGTTCGGCAGGCTCAAGACGAGGGTGCCAGCGTCGATCCGTCAGCATGTGCCGATCCCGAATCCCACATACTCGCACAAGAAGCGTTGGGGCGAGCGCTACAAGCATTTGGGGATCTGGATGGTGCGTATGCTGCGTGGTTGAGGACCATCGATTTATTGCAAGTCGAGTGGCCTTTTGGTAAAGTTGACCGAGAACTTCAAGTCGATCCGCTCTTGCTCAAGTGAGTCCCCCGCCTTTTACTGGATAATCGTGTGCAAGTCATCCTCATCATGGTTCATTGACAGATCCATCCGCTCTCATCTCACAGAATGCGGCAGATCCCTGCACTATCCCAACTGCGAACTTTTAAATCATGCTCGCGCAGTGATCAAGATCGCTCGACAGCTCGAGCAAGACCAACCCAACAAATCTCTCGACCCATCAGAGTCTGCGCGGGACGCACGACTTTTTCTGGCAGCTGGTTCATTGGCTTACGGCTACGCTCTTGATCTTGCGGGTGGATCTGACGACGCGTCCAGTCCTCCAGTAGCAGTGGCAGTCCCAGGCACCGGCAATGTTCTGCAGGCAGAGGGAGTAGTAAGCATCCGGGAGCTGTTGGAGGAAGCTGTAGAGTACCTCACAGTGGCACTCGAGCGTGCGTTGGCAGACAATGACACAAATTTTGCACGGGTCGTAGCCCTCCAGGTATGTTCACCGGATGATCCGTCTGGGCAAGCGATTATTGGTCCTGACTCTGATCCACACCAGCTTGCTATCGTCCAAGTCGAACGACGACAAGAACCCATCGCGCACACTCTCCTGGAAACCCACTCTCTAAGTCGGCCCTTTCTTATTGACCTCGACAATTCCCGAAAAAACGTCCAGTCACTTTCACCCTGCATCCCGACTATCGAGCCCTTTCTTCAAACCGTATACTCATCCGCCGCTCTCAAACGTCTCCTCCCTCTCGCACCCTCCCCCAAGTTACCCACCAAAAAACCTTCCAAACCTCGTATGCTCCTCTCCCGCCGCTCAAGGGTGAATCTTCGTGTCCAATGTACGTTTTGTTGCATGAGCTCAGTGTCCGAGCCCATTAAGTGTGAGATATGCGCCTCGAGCGGCGTACTGGTTTGGTATTGTACCGAAGAGTGTATGATGGCGCATGCTGGCGTGCACAAGAAGGATTGTGTGATTAGTGGGGGATGGGTTGCTGGGCCGGGAATGTTTGGATATGGGAGGGTTTGAAATGTGGCTGTTTGTAGATATGTTTGTGATTAGCAAGTATGTTCTGATTGCAATAGATAGTGTCCCGACGCTTCAAAGGTCCTGTTCGGATTAGACTTGAAAGTACATTGTAAACTGCAATTTTAACATGCTGCAATCAACCATCGGATCTCGTCAGCCAGTAGTCAGCATTTGAACCACAACCACGTGACCCCATTGCAAGAAATAAAATCCCGTTCAATTCGGGATGCCCTGTTCCTTCTTTCCTTGGGCCCCATGTGCCAATGCAATGGGTCTGTCATGCCCACTGTCCGCTTTCACCTGCAACCCTATAAGCAAAACCCAAAGGGGATGAAACCGGCCAGTGCGTTAGACATAACGATCAAATCCCTCCCGCACCATTTACCCTGTACACCCTCACTACAATTGAGTGGCCATGGTACATTCTTTCTACAGGTGCGAAGAATAGAACGGACCTTTATAACAACCACAGATGCACTTTGGGATTGTCTTGTCGGTTGTGCCGCGGTCAAACATTTTGTTCTCTCTTTGTTGCCTGTTGTAAAATGTCGAAAAGTATACCTTTTTGGCAAGACAATAACAGACGCAAAAAATGAGTCTCCAAGACGTTCAGAATGCTACCATGTATCTAAACGATCCACTTTTATGCAAACAAGGACATGTACAAACTATATCTTACAAATCTAGCAAAAGAAAGTTCTAAGATCTATGGATCACACCATACTAATAGAAAACGGCAAAAAAAAAAAAAAACAATATGAAAACAAAAGAGACCAGCTCCCTACGTACAGATTCTACACTGATGTGCTCTACAGTAATTCTAGCTACGTATGTAACAGAGCTTCACAATGTTTGCAAACAAACATGTGGGAAAACGCCGGTTTGTCCTGTATTCGTATTTACGCCGTATGCCCAGCCTGCCCATTCAAAAATTAGTAAGAAAAAAACCTCTAACCAGAGCAAAAGCAGTATGCCTTACCATCATCAAAAACTTTATGCACATGCACAATATCACCGACATTCAACAAAACCTCGTCGACCTCTAATGGGTCGTATGACTCCGTGACGACCGCCCGATAAAAATCTTGTATCTTTGGATTGCCATTTCTCGTCATCGTATGCGAATCCGTGCGCATCGAGTACCGAGATGCAACAGATTGTGTTCGTTTTGCGTATGACTCTGTTGGTGGACGGGAGGATGGCGGCGCTTGTTGGGAGGGGACGTAAGCGGGTGACGGGGCTTTGAGATTGGTGATGATGATCTGGTTTGGTTTAGGGGGTAGAGAGCGGAGTGTGTCGTCATCGTAAGATGTGGGGGGTAGTGAACGAAGTGTGTCGTCCGCATAAGGTGCGGGAGAGCGGAGTGTGTCGTCCGCATAAGATGTGGGAGGTAGCGATCGGAGTCCGTCCTCCCCGAAAGGTCTCATGTTGGGAACGGGGGACGAAGTGGGCCACATTCCACTAGCCCGTGCGCCTGCTGCCGCTCGCTCAGTATGGATAGATGCTCTAGCCTTGTTACTCGTTCCACCCCCTCGCGATTCTGTCCACCTCAGTATTGACACTGCAAGTGCAATGATCCCAAAGAAGAATCCCCCCGATATACCCGCGAACAATGGAAGTTTGTCGGATGCGTCGTCCTTGGCGGTCTGTTCCGCAGATTTGACGTCAACCACTTTTAATTCCACTGCACAACAATCCGATTGTCTGTCCTGGCAAGTCATTTTAGCTTGCTTGACGCCGTTCTCTGTATTCCCGTAGCCGCAGTTATTCCTTTCGACATCTACGGCCATCAGGCATCCAAGCTCATCCGTCAATTGGGAGCAGACATCTCCCACTCTCTTTCGCCATGCTTCTCGCGCTGCATTCGCCGTACTGCTTTGCCCGCAAACAGAGTTGAATCCCACCCCAATCATGTCATCCCGGAACGTATTGCACGTGTTCCGACACAGTCGGACGGGTCTGGCTGTCCCGTTTTGCGCGGGGCAACTCGATTGTAGGAGAGCTTCTTGGCACTGATAGCTCAATGCAAATCGAAAGAGTGGCACTTTGCTTCTCACCATCATCTCTGTCAGATTCTGACAGCCCAATTCGGGAGGCAGGATCGATGTGAAAGCACCCAGGACGTTGTCAAAGTCAACTCCATTCTTTACAGTCGACAACCCGGCGCTATTTGCACCGTCCGTTTGGATCTGCAAACCGCTACTAGTCGCAAAATTTCTGCAGACGGCTGTTGTAGAGACGTCTGTACAGGCTGCGTTGGCAAAGGGGAGAAGGAGGATGGCCAAGTTTATGAAAAGTGACAGGGACGAATACATTGTTCGTTGCCAGCGTGCTTGTGGGAGTCGTGCGAGTACGGAATCTATTTCACGACCGAATATGCGCCAGTCGAACTCCTGTTCACAATCTCAACGCAAATGGCAAGTAAACTGTAAAAAGAAAAAAAAAAAAAAAGAGATCACTCCATGTCCAGAGCGGGAGGAAGGAAAGAGCAAGCTTTGGCCAAAACAAACGACCGCAACTGAAACATTTTCGGGGGCCACGCGCGGCGGTCCCCCTTTCTTGTGTGGTTTTAACAAAAAAGCAACGATTGGACCCTTGCAAATGCGGGTGCTGGGATTCGAACTCCCCAACTTTAGGCACCACCCACCCACACCACTCAAAAAGCCAAGACCCCTTTTGCTGCCATCAAATCCTGGGCATTCGTTCTCTCTAAACAACACCTTGAAGCCATTCAAATGGGAACGTTTGCGCAGTAAGACTTTTGGTCCTACCCATGCGATTCCGCTCTGCTCTTGGCATCCACTCCTCCTTTGCATTGCGGCTCAACCTTGTCCTTTTTTGTTGTCCATTTGCCAACTATCCAAAGGCTGTTGTCACTGCTTGGCACATTGAAAATCCCATCAATACACAAGATTTCAACTACCACCATCTATGGTTAAAATGCCTTTAATGCAAGTAACCATATTCAGAATATTCGTAATATTCATTAAACAAGCCGGTTGCAGTGAAAGTAAAACCGGCTCTCCATCAATGATGAATGAATTTCCTAAAATGGGTAAATAAACATCTTTGATGTAGTACACATCCAATCAGCCGATTTTCTCACGCCGCGTTTGTTGTTTTTTGTTTCAAGCGGGGAAATTCCCTTTGGTATCCAAGTGACAACCCAGGTGTTGGAGGGGGGGCGAATTTCCCACGCACACACACACACAAAAAGAGGTCGTTTCTACGCTCCATCTCCATTTCCATCGCTGGCCTCGTTTCTTTCAACTTTTGCACATTTGCTCTTTTGAACGGGTTCGTTCACTTTGCACCTTTCTCGGAGTCTGTCGTTCTAGCACCTTGTGTATGTATATTACTCGTTTGCTCTGGCAATTGTTTGCTTGGGCTTGGTCTGATCTCGATTCTTGTGTGATTCTCTAGTTTTTTTTCGTTCTTTGGCATCTCGACATACAATGGAGGCACTTCTCTCCAACGTTTCCAGGGCGTGCCCCTTCCTTGCTCGCACTCCGGTCCCAGCTTTGAGGAAACTCTCTACCGTCCCTGTGCGCACGACATCGGGTAAACCCACGACTGCCTTGTTTGCCACCGCGCAACAATGCCCCGTAATGTCCAAAGCTATCGCCGTTCAGTCCAAAAAGAATGGCGCAAGGTCGATGCATTCGTCGTCTGTCTGCCCTTATGCTGCTGTCGTCGATGGCATCTCGGCTGTCCCTCCCCGTGCTCAGCCCCCGACGTTCCTTAACCCTCAGTCCGCTTCCGCGGCTCCTCGGTGCCCTGTTCAGCACAAGCAGGCTCGAACTGAGAAACACGCTCCGGTGCAAGGTGCCACCAAGCCTTTTGACTATGAGTCCTTTTATCAGCATGAATTGGACAAGAAGCACAAGGACAAGAGCTACCGTTACTTTAACAACATTAACCGTTTGGCTCAGCTTTTCCCTACTGCTCATACGGGTACCGGCGAACACGTTACCGTTTGGTGCTCGAATGATTATCTTGGTATGAGCAAACACCCGGTGGTAGTGGACAGTATGAAGTAAGTTACTCGTTGCCATTTTTGGAATATCATTGTGCATACTTACCAAGGTGTCCTTTTCAGAGCTACATTGGACAAGTACGGTGCTGGTGCCGGAGGTACCAGGAACATTGCCGGAAATGCCCAACTTCACTTGAGCTTGGAGCAAGAGTTGGCATCCCTTCACAGAAAGCCAGCTGCTCTTGTATTCTCCTCTTGTTTCGTTGCCAATGACGCTACGCTGTCCACATTGGCGGGCAAGATGCCTGGCTGTGTAATCTTTTCCGACTCGTCGAACCACGCATCAATGATTCAAGGTATTCGCCACTCTGGCGCTCAAAAGAAGATTTTCCGTCACAACGATGTAGCCCACTTGGAGTCGCTACTCCAGCAGGTTGACATCAATGCACCCAAGATTATTGCTTTTGAATCAGTCTATTCCATGTGCGGTTCGATTGGACCCATCAAAGAGATTATTGCTCTTGCCAAAAAATACAATGCCATCACTTTCCTCGATGAGGTTCACGCTGTGGGTATGTACGGCGCCACCGGCGGAGGTGTTGCAGAATATATCGATGCCATGGATGACATCGACATTATCACTGGAACCCTTGGCAAAGCTTACGGCGTTGTTGGCGGGTATATCGGTGAGTAGCGCAATGACAGCGTCCCATTTCTATATATGTGGATTGCTAACATGTGGTATCTCTTCTAGCTGGTTCATCACCCCTGGTTGACATGATTCGTAGTTACGCACCTGGCTTCATCTTCACTACCTCCCTCCCCCCTGCCATTGTTTCTGGTGCTCTCACCTCTATTCGGTACCTCAAAGAATCCCAAAAGGAGCGTATTGGCCAGCAGCTCAATACCCGTGCCTTGAAATCTCGTCTTGGAGAGATTGGCATTCCCGTGGTCCCGAACCCGAGTCACATTGTCCCAGTGTTGGTGGGTGATGCCGAGACTGCAAAGTCAGTGTCAGACGAGCTGTTGTACAAGTACAAGATTTACGTGCAGTCCATCAATTATCCCACCGTGTCTGTTGGTGAGGAGAGGCTGCGGATTACCCCGACTCCAGGTCACCACCCGGAACTGATGGATGTGCTCGTGGATGCTCTGGACACGATCTGGCACGAACGCGGTTTGAAAATGGAAAAGGATTGGGAAGCTGTCGGTGGACGGGCTGGAGTCGGCAATGGTTGCAAGGTTGAACAGCTTGTTGTCGATCAGGACTTGGGATTGGTGGAGCCGCAGAGGCTGGCGGCGGTTGCCTGAACACCGCATTCATCATGTTACGCATGTAGTCCATTTTTTCACCGCTGCAGAATCTCTGCAAGCAAAAAATAGGGAATGGTTCAAAACTCGTTGTACAAAAGTTAGTTTTCGCAATTTTGAATTTTTTTCTGTATTCCTTCCATTGCCACTGTTTGTCAGAAAAAAGAATCGTTCAAAGCAGTTCACGAATACATCACTTCATATCATTTTTGATCAGTTGCACGGAAATTCCTTAAGGGTGCAAAACCAGAGACGGGGTATATTCGGTGTGAAGAATCTGTATATTTGATATGCTTATACAAAACATCTTACACCCGGATCTCCTTGGCGGCCTTGGCCTCCTTGGCCGCAGTCTTGTTGTTAGACTTTTGACCCATGATACCACCACCCCAGGTCTTGCGGATCTCCTCGAATTTGTCATTGTAGTTGGTCTTGACAGCACCAACAAGGGCAGCAAGCTCGTGCTTGTCCTCGGGCTTCACCTCGGTCAAAGCAATAGCGGTAGCGGTCTTCTTGTGGACAACAGTACCGAGCCGGGACTTGGACTTGACAATGCAGTATGGGACACCCATCTTGCGGCAAAGGGCAGGAAGCCAGATGACAATCTAATAAAAAATCAAACAATGTCAACAACTCACACCAATTGGACAAAAACAATATCACACACCTCAATGGGGTCGACATCGTGAGCAATGACAACCAGCTGAGCCTTCTTGGCCTCAACCAGAGCAGTAATGTGGTTGATACCGTACTTGACGACAACGGGCTTCTTGCCTTGGTCAACCTTGTTGCCAGCAGCAACAGCCTCGGCAGCAGTAGTCAAACGGGTCTTCTTCTCCTGCTTGGACTCAGGGCGGTACTTGTTCAAGAGCTTGAACAACTGAGTGGCTGAACATTGGAAAAAACAAGTAAGCGACTGCTGTTGGGTTTTCCCTGGTGCTTCTCATGGATCCTCACCAGTGTTCTTGTCCAAGGTCTTGGTGAACTGGTTGATCGCTGGGGGAACCTTCAAGCGCTGCTTGAGGATGGCCTTTTGGCGCTGAAGGCGCACGTACTGGGGCCACTTGACGAAACGGCTAAGGTCACGCTTGGGCTGAATGTCCTGGCCTACACATGCACCAATAGTCAACCACAATTGCCCTCGAAAAGGCATTCTCCCAAAAACCAAAAGCGTACCGATAGCAAAGTTCCTGGAACGCTTCTCAATCAAAGGGTTCTTGGCCTTTTTAGCAACGGCCTGACCCTTGGCAGGGTAAGGAGCGGGAGCGGGCTTCTTGGACTTGCCGACGGCTTTGGGCTAAAATGGCGATCACAGGGAGAAGAGCACGGCAAACCGTTAGTTGGGCCAAATCTGGGTCATCAGAGTCTCCCTCAAGAGGGAGAAGCTCCTAAAGTCATTGGAGTTTGTCACTAGGACAAGGTCTCCTAAAAGGGCCCATGTTGCGTCCGGCATTGCATGTTGACACATGCTAGCTGGGCAACAACCAATTCAACGGTCCACCGAAAAACTGTCTTCCGTATTGGAGACCATCTCGGGGATGCCGAATGGTGTGAAGATGGATGGATGGATGGATACATACCATGATGAATTCGCTGCTCCGGGATGGACGATCGAGGAGATGGCGGGTGGTTCAAGAGAAGGAACTACCGTAATGGTCGATAGACGAGTTTTGTCGCTGCCCCCAACATAGGCGTGGCGCAGTGCTTAGTCACATCCCGGTTGCTGTAGCCATCTGCTGCTGGATATCCAAAGGTAATTTACGCCTGTAGCTATCTCTCCCCCTTTGCTACTTTTGAAGGGCACTAATAACTATAATCAATGAAGATATCAGTATTGCATGTATAGAGGAAAGTCTAGGAGGGCGTTCGCGATTTAGCGGTAGCGGCTGTATCGCCACGAATTATAAAACTGGATGGAGGTGCCTGTAGCTTAGAGAATCACCATGCAGATCCCTTTAACGAGAATCAATTCGCCGAGTGCGGATTTCTGTGGTCACTCAGTTTAGAAAATTCCACATTGCAAGGTCGTCAGGCAGCGAGAGTGTCAAGCGATCAAGGCTTGAAGGAAAGAATGGCTCTATCGGCCATTTGTTGGTCTCCAATGTGAGACAGACTTCATCCAGATTCGTAATATCATGCACCCTCTCCATACTAGACTCAATCATTTTGGATGGCTGTGAGGCAAAGACCGTTCATAGCCATCAAGTCTGCGTATACCGTAGGCTTGGTCCTCGTGCTTTCAATTTTAAGTAGAATGACCCACTCGGCGTCTTCCATAACCGCCACAGCTGTCAATATGCACCAAAACCGAAAGTAATCTTCAGTTTTATCGTTTCCCTCCCAGGTCATCATTTTAAGTGAACTTGTCTGACTGAAAGTCGTCAACAGACGAAATAACCATGCCAATCTTCACCACAATCTTGAGCATATTGAAACCAGCCATCAAGAGCTCGTAATCGGTGAATTCATTCCCAGCGTTGGAAAGGCTCGGTCTTTCAATTTGAGAGTTAAGATTGGTGGCATGTAGATCTGAAAGAAGAAAGTCGCGTTGGTGCAGGAGCAACTGGACGCAGAACTGGACGACGCGTCCGTTCTCGGACATCCTTTTTGTCCGTGGTTCGTGCTGATAACTTCATTACCAGGGCGGAGATCTTTGATATATTTGGGACGGGAAAAAGTATGCCACGTCGCCAATGCTCGCAGCTCGCTCTTCACCTCGTTCCTCCACACAAAGCAATGTGCCAGAAGGCCCACCACTACAACCAACCGAGAGCGTTAACGGTGGCCTGAACCGCCGGACCAACAGCGGGGCCCATACCCCTTTCCGGTCAAGCAACACCGTAGTTTATGCTTCGTCTACCCAACGACGTGCATTCAGTGACCAACCGAATACCGCATACGGAAGTCCTGCACATGCGCCGTTTCCCATTGCCATGGCAGGCTATCGGCCAGATTCTCGGCAATTCAGTGATAATGGCCGCAATACCACTCCAGCCAAAACTTGGAAGAATAGCGAACGTGGTCCCTACGGGACTCCGTTTCCCGCTCAGGAAGAGCAGATATTTTCTGAAGACGATTCTGAGTTTGTGGACGACGAGTTCAAGCGTCTTGTAGAGGAATTGGATAATGAAGAATTCACTCAATTGAACGGCTTCATGGACCGGCATCAAAACGCATTCGACAGTGTTCCGCGACATACCGCGCACTCTACTGACATAAAACATGAGGAAGAGCAATCGGAGGAGGAGATTAGTTTAGAGGAACAGTTCCCGCAAGACCAACACGACGAGCCTCTATACACTTCCGAGCTACCCACCTCAACCGCTCCGCCCGACGAGGGATACAGTACCCAAAATTATTTGAACGCTCCTACGTTGGAGCTTTTGGATGCAGAACTGGATGATCTTGATGATGAAGGACAAGGAAATTATGTGCATGACCAAGATTTTTCCAAACTGGAAGGCTTGACGGATCTTGAGATTACAGGCCTAGAACGAGACACGGAGGACGTGCGTTACGATGAAGCTATAAAGGGATCTCCTAAACATTATGGAAGGGACATCCGAACGCAGTTGCCAGAACCCTGGGATTCGTCTTTGATGGGAACCCCGACGCCAGTGGGGGTTGGGGGCCAAAATCAGCGAGGAGAATCACTCGTTTGTGAGTAGCTTTACGATTACTTTCTACCAAAATTGGTGGGACTAATAAATCTATTCCTTGCGTGTATAGCTTCAGAAAATAGGCAAAGCCAATATAAAGATCCAGGTCCTTACGATACCGCTTCAGCCAAACATTCTTTAGCGACTCGGGATATTGAAAGCCCTGAGAGCTCTCTTGGTGTACTGTCACCTGAAAATGAGCATTTCAACGACAATATTGGGTACATATCTCCATCCCCTACTCCGCGACCTCATCACCAGGGACGGATGGCCGCTCCTGAGTTGAAAGCCTTTCCTTCCCCATTCGGAGCTACCGTGGACCAAATGTCTTTTACTCAACATGATGAAAATAACAGTCCGTCACAGCCGGAGCATGCAACCCACGCGCTAGAGTCGCCCTATCAAGAGGCGTCGACGCCCCATCTGCGAATTGCTGGAGGGACGGACTCGTCACCTTTCCAAGACATGCTTATCGAAGCCCGTAATGAATGTCAAAGTCTCAGAGCTCTCAATGAGCGACTTCTGCAGCAAAATGAGGAACTAAAAGCTAATTTAGGTACAGTCCAATGTAACTTTATCGTAATCACCGTAACGAGGTCGATTGATGTGACCGTTTTCCTAGACGCTGCAATGGACGATAAGAGACAATTTGAAATCAATCTGCGCGCAGAATACGAGCAAAAGCTGCGAGCCGTTCGCGTGAGTGACGATATAGAGTTTTGTATGGTGAACATCAGTCACACGCATTTTATATCATATAGCAAGAAGAATCAGAGAAGAACCAACTGTTGCAGCAGGATCTAGCTTCTGTGAGAGAAGAGCTTGAAAAATCCCGCATAGCCCAGGATCAAATGGCCTCGATTCGCAGTACTTTGCAACGGGAGAAGGACCTGGATATTTTGAGCATAAAAAAGGAGCTCGCAGCGCAAAAGGAGCGTCAACTAAAAGAACTTCGTCGCGAAATGGCAGTGGATAAAGAGGAGCTTTCGAGAAAGCTAAAGGAGGAAATGAGAATCCAGGAAAACAATTTCCACAATGATAAGGAACGCCTCGAGAACGAAATAAGCAGATTGCGAAAGGCAGTGATGCAGCGCGACGATGACCTTGCTCAGCTGGAAGAACGCCTGTACACGAGATCGAGGCGTCCTGATAGGGAGGACTTTGGTCAACAGTATGACGGTTATTCCGACATGGTGCAGCATTTGGAGAGAGAGATTTCACAGATTAGAAGTAGCTATGAAGCTACGCTTTCCGCTGTTCAGAGTCAGCTGGATGGAGAGCGAAAACGTTCGGACGCACTAAAACATGAGCTCACCGCGCGCGCCAACATCCCTTCATCTCCAAAAAACCTCTCTCTGAATGAACTTATGGTAAACTACCCGACTCAGCTACGGCAATTTCGGGAAACTGTAGAAAGGGAGCATTCGGAGGAACTGTCTGCCCAGAAAGCTGCTCATGCGACTGCGTTGCAGAATATGATGGATCGACATCAGACGGCAATGTCCGAAGCGGCGTCACGGAATGAGGAGGAGCGGATGAAATTGGTGGCGCAACAGCGACAGGAGATACTGCACATCACGAGTCGGCTGAAGGAACAGTGTGCGCAAGCCTATGACCTTGCCATCCAGAAGCTAAAAGCAGATTATGCAAAATCCGAGGAAAAGTTGGCTGAACGATATGCCGCAGAGAAAGCGGCGTTCGTGAATGAGGTGAAAATAAAGTATTCGGCACTCGGTAGCTCTGGAAGATATACAGAGAAAGATGAGCGCGGTGAGATGTGGCGGAATCGTGTACAAGAACTTGAGGTACGTGTTGCATTTGAGGAGCCATATAAATCCCGTCGCTCAACGTGGTATATCTCATGCGCATAGGATACTGTGAGTTCGCTCAAAGATGCCTTGGCGCGAGCTGCTCTCGAGCATAATCAAGCGTTGCTGGATGCAAAACACCGCAATACGCGCGATCTTCAGGAGAGCCTGCAGAAAATGAAAGGCAAATATCTAGACACGTTGAGAACGATGCGAGATGATTTGGCGAGGAGCAAGCAACAAGGTTTGGAGAGGTTGGAGATGGAATGGCGAAGGAGAAAGGAACAACTAGACATGGAGTGGGAGAAGAAGTAAGTGTGCTGCTATTGCCGTTCTGCCAATGACTTTTACAGTTAACCATTCTCATAGGCTAGAGGACGTGGTGTCGGGATACGAGGATCGCAAAGTGCGCACGTTTACCTCGAATTCTCCACCTCGAAGCAACGGTTATGCTGTCCACCGAACTGTGCCAGAGTCAAAGCGGGGTCCACCTTCATCGAGTTCCTCGGCTACAAATGGGGTGGATATCAACAGAGCAGCTTGGAAACCACCAGGTGGCAGTAGCAGGTTAAGGTCAAGTGCCACTGGCACTCGCATGAAACAAACGCGCTTTCATGAACCAACCCGAGATCGGTGATCTTCACCGCGCTATACACTGGTGGTCGTAATTTAATGTAATATAGAGTTTTTGCTAATAATGTACATATGGACTACAACATGTATTCCACTGCTTTTGGCGCGAAAACGGATTATCAACAATGCAGTGCGTCGCTAGTTGTTCCCTCGGGGGACTTCAATCTTCAGAGGGAATATTTACGAGCACCGATCGCGAAAAATGGCGAGTGGTTGTTAATTCAAATAAGTCTCCAGTTCCGCTTGAATTAGAGGATACAACTGATCAGATGTAGAACCTTGGAAGTTTCGAAGAATACCCTGAACTTGATAATAACTGAGTAATGGCCTTGTCAGTTCGTAATATTTATCCAGCCGATGTTTGAATGTTTCCTGCAAGTGGTAAAGATTCAGCTGAGCAACAGGTACGTATTGCAGCGGATTCCTCACACACCACGTTGTCATCCGGTCGCTTAGCCAACGGTTCCCCTGTAACATCATCGAATCCTACTCGCTTAGGGGGATTATAAGACATGTTGTATGTTCTTCCCTGAAATCCCCAGTTAAGTCAGACGCATACGTTTCAATGAGCAAGTCCTTTGCTTACACTAGCGGGATGAATCCATCGATCTGGGGGAAAAAGAAACTCAGTACAAAGACGTGCTGGATCGCATGCGGATAAGACATACCTATTATACGCTGCAGAATTACTAGTAATAGGCAAATACTTAGCAGCAGTTTAAATGTACCGATGAATAGATTAGAACATACCTCCTTCCGGAACATCCAGATTTAGTACCAGATCTAGAGGCTGAGACTCTTCTTTCAAATGCGCATCCAGTATTTTAGCTTGACTCAATGTTCGAGGGAACCCTGCAGGCAAGCCCTTTTAAAGATATCCCACCACGTTCCATTGCGTGAGTGTCGCCTACCATCCAACATCCAGCTCTAGCAAGTATACAAGATTAGGAACAATTGCAGTAACACCTCGCTGTGAACGGGCCTTCACCTTTCCCTTCAACGTTGAAAGCTCCTTGAGGATCAACTCCACCACTAGTTCATCAGGCACAAGACCGCCCTCTTCAATGTAGGCTCGAGCCTCCAGTCCCAGAGCTGACTCTTCCATAATATTCTTTCGAAGAAGATCACCGCTGGACAGTGTAATGATGTCAAATCTTTGCGCTATGCGCTTCGTTTGCGTTCCCTGAAAACAAGAGTAGGGCATTACAAACCCTTCAGCGTTCGAGTGCACTGTCAGATGTATACCTTGCCGGCACCTACGTTTTTAAGGTTGAATGGTATTTTCTTTAATGCATACTGCAAATGCAACGTCAAACTCACCAGGAGAACCCATTATGAGTGATCTCATCGTCGTGGAAGTTCGTCGGTGTCCCTTCCCATGGCCCTGCGAGGTAACAGAGGTATGTATCCCATGTCGTACTCGAGACTCCAGAGGTCTGGATAGTAGCCGACCTTTGAAGGTTTGGCTTAAAGCCAGCATTCCAGGGGGCGGGATGAGTGAGGCGAGTTGCTGATGGAGATCTGACCAAATGATCGCCCGTTGGTTAGTCATCAATCGCTGGATACTTTTGGATCCGGCGCACTGCGGTACACTCGAATGCGGAACGGAACCAATGCCTGTCGTCCCTCCACTCTTTCCTCTACTGCTTTTTATCCACAGTGAGCATTCCAGACTTTTTGCTCACGAACAGCAATCGAAAATGCCCGAAACTCGTCGCCAACGACCAGCTCCCCCGCCACGGCGGCCAACGCAGCCAATAAAGGTGAAAAACCAGTCAAACTACTATCACCAGGCGCAAAACTGTGAGTTTGTTTACAATAGCAATGGCTCGTCTCAGTCACACTCACGCTCATTGATGGTCCATTCAGTGTTTCGATTGAGCGGAAGCGTAATTCCAAAAGTCTTTTTCCCGGCCATCTTGATAACGGCTTGGGGTGCCATATGGACGGTGTTCTTTATGGTCGACGAAGTAAACTTTTTGAAAGGATTTTTGCCCAAGTCAACTCTTCTCATTACCATCGTGAGTTTGGTGATGGGTCTATTGCTGGTTTTTCGAAACAACACTGCATACGAGCGATACTGGGAGGGTCGTCGTCTCTGGGGCACATTGGAAACCCAGGTATGAGAATCGGTTTGAGTAAAGCTTTCATTCACGACGATCTGACACGCTATTAGGTTCGCAACATGTCCCGCTTTATCTGGATTGGAGTATCGGCCAAAAATGCGCAGGATGCTCTCGAGAAGCGTGGGGCAATGAATCTACTTGTGGCATATATGCACGCTACGAAACATTATCTACGTAATGAGTTGGGCCTACACTATGACGACATCTATCCTTTTATCAGTCACCTACCTGAGTTTGCCATGGATAACCAAAATCAACCCGATATTAAAAACCTGCCGCTAGAGATTTCCTTCCAGCTTGGGGTACGTAGCCAAGCTAGCGAGTTTGCTTCCACAACATTAGCCCTTATTGAAGACATGATCAGGGGTACATCATGAAAGCAAAGGAGCATGGTCAAATCGACGTGTCGCAGCTAGGCTGTATGACCAACTCGTTGAATGCCATGATAGAGTGTTTCACTGGCTTCGAGCGGATTCGCAACACGCCCTTGCCCTTCGCCTACTCGATCCATTTGAAACAGACGCTAATTGTTTATCTCCTCTCGCTGCCATTCCAACTAGTTGTTGACAACAAATGGGGCACCAGTAAGTGCTGACTGCATATGTCATAACTTCTGCGAGCGGCGCTTTAAGTACATCTACTGCAGTCCCTGTTACGTTGTTGGCTGCCTTCACCTTACTCGGCCTGGAAGCTATTGGAGGTGAAATTGAAAACCCATTTGGACTTGACGAGAATGATCTACCAAGTAGGATGATTGCTCATTCGCTGCGGAGGACATGAACTAATGTTTTGTTCCTATTCCAGTCGATGATATCTGTGAAATGATTCATCAAGAAGTCCTGAGCATTATGGACCGACCCGATAAGCTGGATTCCAGTAAATGGGGTTTGCCTTGGGAGGACCTCAACTCAACCCACGCGAATTTGGATGAGGTAAGTATAACTTGCTTTTGTTGGCGCACCAGACCAACTCTCTAATGGAACATCGTCTATCGTACAAGTCCGCAATCTCCGCTGCACAGGCGCAAGTTAAGGCGCGGATGCCATTCACGAAACGGTTTATCTCGTGAGCATCTTTTTGTATAGGTATATGTATAGAGCAGAGAAATGGACTTGTACAAACATTGTATAAAGGAAATATGGGTGCTTCGTTTGCAAATAATTGTCACGTGATGCTTGAGCTGCCGAGCGTTGTGGTCTTGGGAATCCTGGCCAGATCATCTCCCCTGTCTGGGAGTATGGCAGACGATGGCATTAGAGAAACGTTGGAACTCATAACCAGCAAATGGCAGGCAACACGAGTCCTAGTCAAAGAGCTCACTGCGCGAGTCAACAGCTTAGAGGTGTATTCTTGTCGTTAAGCTTGCCTGTATATTTCTCAACTCAACTTTCTCATAGCAGGGAGACCCGCAGAAGCTAGGAGCTCAGCGTGAACCACCACCCTTTCCTTTCGCAGGTATGCTCCAATGTGGAAAAGGCCCATTCCCATGACGGGCATCCACAGAGTTTTGCTTGGCGAGCTCGGCGCTCACGCGACGTGTTGTCAGAATACGACACTCGGTATGCCGAGTTACAGAAAGAAAACCAGCTATTGAATCAGCTTATAAAGCAATACGAGTCAACACTAGAGATAGTAATGTCTAAATTTCGGTCTCAGGCGGTTCGTGAACTATCTCGGAGACTGCTGCTAGACTGGACGTTGTATTTACCTCACATCGCAGCAATCAATACAAAAAGAGAAACGCGAGCTGCAACTCAAGCTGGAGCGGACACTGGAAGAGGAGCGGGTGCGACCCTTTCTTTTACTTTACTATTGTATCGGTGTACTGGCTTATACCAATCATGATGTCTCCAAGGCGATCAACACTACACTGCGTACAGAAAATAAGACACTGCAAGAGCAACTTGATTCCTGTATGCGAGTCATCCGCGAAGCCGTCAGTGTGGACGAGGTGGATATGGATATGGTGGTGAGCGGGATGGCCAAGGAAAATGAAACATTACGGCAGATGTTGCAAATATCGGGCGCAATGTAAATACTGCCCATCATGTATGTAAAGAGGTCTTCAGAAGTAACCTCAAGTAATAATGTAATATATATGCGTGTGGAAGTTGTAATACGGAATGCGCGCTTTCCTTCTTTGCCGCTTCGCTCAGTTTGGCCGACAATATTCGGTCAACCCAACCGCTGGAACGGGATCATGCAGGCGCGAGTCTGACAACCCAAATGTTCCAATGCTGTATTGCAATAAATTAAAGTATCTACAAGATGAGATCATCCCAAGGGGATCAAAGAGCATCAAAATTGATCGCATGTAGCGCCTTTCGTCGTTCCCTCTCGTCTTCTCTCTGTTTGGCGTGAACAATGTCAGGACCGAAAGAGATGACGGCGCGACATCTTGATATTACCTTTTCCATCCAGTGTAGAAATCCAACAACGGATACCAATATCACTAAAGAGGTGCAGAGCACCAGCATTACGGATTTCGAGGCGGAACTAGGATTGATATATAACTCAAGTCGCCAACTGGAGACCAAGGGTCAGTTTCTGTTTCTCAGGAAAGCATCTGTTTTCGCAAACTGGAGCACTTACGTATCCGGAGTATCACTCGGCTTCTCCTCGTACGGAATCACGATGAGTTGCGAATTTGGAATTACTCCTTGATACACTGCTACGTTAGCAGCCTAGAGAGGAGGCATTAAGGACGGCCAGATATTGATGATATTATCCTGTGCACGTTTGCAATACCTTTCGCCGCGTCACTCCAACAAACAGATCCTCAATATAGTTGTTAGTTCGACCCAGCCCAAAGAGTGAATACGGCGTCTGAAGTGCAAAGTAGGACGACTGCGACAATTGTGCCGCTGAAGTACAACAAAAAAAATTAGAGCACACCTTCCCATGAGAGTATCGCGCTCAAAAAATGCCAACCTTGGGTGGCCCGCCTATTTCCCGACGTGTCGAATACTGTGTACTTGAAGCTAGCACCCGCATAATTTACTCCGTAAGGCTAAAAAACGAGATATTTATTCACTGGCCGGTACGTGACTGGGCTCAATGCACACCGACCTTGGGCACTGGAGACTTTACACCATTGGGACACCACCCTGGACAAACACCATTCGACACTGCAGAGTTTGAGATGCGTTTAGCTCCAAAGCCTTTATCTCAACACGATTAGCTTATTTCTTACCAAGTGCTTTTAAGAAAAAGGCATCGTTGTAGAAGTTGTTGAATAGCGCATATGTCCGATATCTACCTCCTGATAAAGTGCTGACGAATATATCAAGTGTTCCCTATTCCATGGGAGTCAGTTGTTGCCAAATCGCACGATGCTCCAGGTCCTAATTACATCTTCATCCAAATCCATGAAGGTGGCCAATAGCATGTTACTGGGCGAACTTGTTAGGAGGTCGGCACCTGTGTCCACATTCTCAAATGCCCGGCGCTTCGACGAAACCCCTGCTGCACCGCAAAGCTCCGAACTGCATGGAACAGAGGCTAACAACCGAATGGCTTTGGATGTTGTCGCAAGCAGATCCGGGTAACCATCATTATTGTAATCCCCTGTTGGTTGACGATAATTCAGTACGGGGCCAGCACCCTGGACTAGTAAATAGCTGCTTACCGATTCGCAATGGGACAGGCTGCTTTCCCTTCATGGTGTCAATGTTGAGAACAAGCTTCTCATCATCTTGCAAGATAGCCCCCAGTGGAATCTTCACATGGTTCTAGAAAGTCATCGTCAACGAGTGCCGCAGTAAAAAGGGCAATGGCAGCTATCATAACTACCCCGGAATCCTCTCTGAAGTCGAAGGTGAACGACTCATCGGCCTTGCACAAGTCATGTGGATTCCGACAGTTCTCCAGATTCGTGGTAGTACAAAGGGGTATTTGCTTATTATGAACAATGTGAATGAAGCATTGACGGTTGTCACATGAGGGGAAGACCATATCCAAGGTGCCGTCGCCGTCTATGATACATTGGTAAACTCCTTGCCTACTATAAAATCAATTCACCACAACAGAGATTCATACCCATATCTGCAAAGGTTATTTGACCGGAACCAGCAGGCAGTGTTTGCTCCATTCCAAAGTGGAAACCATCCGTTTTCGTATTCAACCAGATTTGAAACTTGTTTGGCGTGTTCCCGCTACCTTGGCATGTAACAAACATGTCTGAAATTGAACTGGTTATAAGAAATACTTCCTGATACCATATAGATCATGAAGTAATGGTGCCCCGCACCTGCCAAGCAATCCCCATTGAGGTCAAGAAATGCATTTGAGTGTGGACGAGTAATCGTGCACTCATGGGTAGAGGATTGATTGAGTTTCACGTCTACCCTGTAGGAAAACAATAATGAGCCCACACTGTGATGACGATCAGTGCTCGCTGAAAATAACGTACGCGGTCCCGTTTCCACTCGCCGGTGCCCACAGTGACAGGTGCCCATCTCGGGATGACGGGTAACCCAGTAGCTCCGACCGCATGTTGCCATTGAAGTCCAGCACAAAGGGTTGCGTTGCCGTAGAGGGAGTCAGTTCTAAAAAGTGTGTGCGATCTGGTGCGCAAATTCGTGAACTCGTCGTTACTTCGGATAGTTACGGTCTTGAAACTTACTGAAAGCGTCCGCCCCATTTCCGTAAAATATTCTCATCGTCAAATCGCCATTCGGGGCACCGGCTGGATTTTTCTGGCCCATTAGGAGGACGTCGAGCTTGCCATCATAATCAAAATCGCCCGGGATTACACTAGTGATGATTAGATCCTCCGGGTGGGTAGGGTCTAATGAAACTTCCGTTTCAGGAAGTTTTTGAAAACGAAAGCTTGCTGCAGTATCGAGGAAATACAGATAATGTCAGATAAGCCAATTGTAATAACTTCTCCCTAGATTGATTGACAAAAAGGACCCACCGTGATCCCAACGAAACACAGTCGCCCTCGTTTGTGCAGTATTTAATACAAAAACGTCGGTGCTAGTGAGGAAACGGCCAAAGTGAGATTTATTCCTGCTCTGTTGCTCATTTAGTGGGCAAAACGATAAGCATACAATTTGTCGCCATCCACATCTCCAAAGGCAGCAACCACCCCATCCACGTCTCCGAGACCCACATCAACATCAAAAAGCCCGGAAGTAGAGAACTTTGGCGCCTTGGCTGTAACAGTTGCAATCAAGAAAATAGGTAGGAGACACCATACGCCAATCATTGCTGAACTGTGAACGCAACCACCACCAACGATCGCGGCGTCCTGTTGACGTGTACAGCAATATATCACGTGAGCAGTACTGGATATCTCTCGTATCGAAAATCATGACTATTTGCTATCATCTGCCACGAGTGCAATAAATAAACTGAGCAATAAAGTTGCAGACACATCATCAAATACTCCTCAATGTACATGTATCCATAGATGGCAAACAAGCTCAAATCAATCCGATATCTAATCCACGAGCGCTTAAAATTCACAACACCCGAATTCATTCTTGACCACAATTGGTCGAGATCCGACATTAAATGATACTACAAAATCCCTCCGCCATTAAAATCACACTACGACTCTCACGTTCGCTATGTGTTTAAATTGTCAATTCATTCTTAATGCCGAATACAGTGGTTGGAAAGCCACAATGTCCTAGATCACGTGCACCCAAACTTCTCAACTTTAAAGTGCGAGAGATTGCCAAGATCATTATCTTATTGCACAACATGGCTTCAGTAGAAGGGGGCGGGCTTTCAGTAGGCTTGGAACTAGCTTCTGCTACAGATGCGACTGTGCTCGGTGCTGTCAGCACTGAAGCTGGTTACAGCTTCGGCGTTTTGCAACTTCTGCGACCTGGTGTTCAAGAAGCAATTTTGGCCGGCGATCAGTCGGTTGGACAGTCATTCTTTCCTAGCGATCTGCAAGTGACAAACGCGACTTACGCGGGGTTTGTCTTGGGTGGAATCTCCGCTTGTGATGCACTGGACTCTGGAGTAGAAATTCTGCAGCAGAAATGTGAAGCACTCGTCAAGCGACAAGTGCAATGGGCCACCCACTTGGGCTTATCTGCTGTATTATTTTCATATCCAACTACGGGAGCGGGTGTAAACTTTGCGAGAGCCGTGAATCATACGCTGTCGATGTTATCTTATACGCAGGTTGGTAGCAAACCTGTTAGCGATTCGAAGCGTACACGTCCTGAAGTACCCTTGTCATATAGGCTTGGGTGCGCATTTGCATAGAAAGCGAAGATGGGGACTCGTGGAAGAAATGGAACCTTTTGCGCACCCTATGTGAACACAATACGAAGCTTTCCGTTGGTATGGCACATCTTGCCACCGTTTCCTAATGAATAGCCTTTAATCGGAACCGCTGTTAGCGTTGGAGCTTCCTGCCGAACTGCCTGAAGAGTCATTACTACTGCAATGGCTGGCTGAACCAGTGAAAGCTGTTATTCTGCCAACTTCGGCCTTCATAGCGAACAATAGAGGATTCCCGGTCTTAAGCAAGCGACATCAGTCGTTTGTTCGGAAACTGATGGAGGTGAGACCTCTTGCTCTATACATCTCGATGTCATTTCGATTTTAACCTACATTATACACAGCAAAATGTTCAATTTGTCGTTAGCGCGAAATCAGCGGACGAAAATATTCACCCGTCAGGAGGGCTTCCAGCATATCAGCAGTATATCCAGCACCTATATCGAACGCGACCGGAGCCAGATGTTGTCGACAAATTTGCCAGTGGCTATCATGAGTGAGTTTAGAGAATGAGACTGGTGATTCTTACAACAAGAATGAATCACACCTTCTTTCCAGTTACTTGCAGCAGCCCTTACAGGTATTGGCCCAGCTGAGGCTTTATCTGAGATTATGCCGTTAACCACATCTGTAGCCGCTGATGGATAATCTGGAATCAGCGACTTACGAGGTCTTTGAGAAAGATCCAATCAAATATCAAGAATACGAGAGGGTTGGTAGGATGTGCGGATGCATTAAAGCAATCTTTGCTAACACGCAGTATGTCGCTCGTCAGGCAATATATAGAGCTTTGCTCGACCGAGTGCCTGACGGTTCGGATAGGGTGACGTACGTACCTCTCTTTTTGTGCCACAGTGAATTATTGTTTAGATTTGGCCATCGCAGGGTTATAATGGTGGTGGGGGCAGGAAGGGGGCCCTTGGTACAACGTGCTCTTCAAGCCGCTGTAGCTTCAAATCGCAAGGTCAAAGTCTATGCGATAGAGAAGAATCCGAACGCTGTTGTTACGTAAGACTGGAGCTACCTGTTCTTTGTTGTTCTTGAGGTAACTAATCGATGTCATATCAGTCTGAGATGCAGAAAGGAATCTGAATGGGAAGACCTAGTTGATGTGATCCATTGCGATATGCGATACTGGGAGGCTCCAGAGCAGGCGGACATTTTGGTCAGTGAACTTTTGGGATCCTTTGGAGGTCAGTAGCTGTTATTAGCAATCGTACCTGGCAGATACCGCTCACAGTTATTATGTAGATAACGAGCTGTCGCCGGAATGCTTGGATGGAGCTCAACGCTTTCTCAAAGGTATGAGTAGTTTGCGTGCAGTCAGTGCAACTACGAGCAAAGTGCAGCAGCAGACATTGATTGCGAATATATATAGAGAACGGAATTTCAATACCATCCAGTTATACTGCATTTGTTTCCCCCTTATCGTCGACCAAGTTGTACCACGAAGTCTCTTCTTACGGTGACAATGCTCATTTGGAAACGCCATATGTGGTGAAGTTCCGAGCGGTCCACGAGCTAGGTCTGTTCCGAACTTGATGCTCATTCTCGCGCCAAAGACAAACATCTGCACTGCTCGTAATAGGCGCGCCACTTCCTGTGTGGACTTTCGAACATCCTCATCGCGGACTGAAGTTGGAACCAGGTGCCTTCCCGTTTGGGTTTAATTGATGAAAGATCTTCACTAATACTGAGAGCACAGGAAGCCCCAATTTTAATGAGCATAACAACCGATACTCAAAACAAAGATTCCAAATTTCACAGGATGCGATGATGGTGAGTGACATATTCGTTGTTTCCTTAACGGATGACAATGCCTAAAACCCTTGACATAGCATGGTATTGCAGGTTATTTCGAGGCTATCCTTTACAAAGACGTAATGATCAGCATCCATCCAAAAACGCACTCTCCTGGAATGTTCAGTTGGTTCCCCATTTTCTTTCCCTTGAAGGTACAGTAGGTTAAAGCAGGTCGCTTCTCTGTCAATTCTTCTCACATCTGTAAAGGTGCCGCTTTACCTGTCAACCGGGTCAAGCATAGAGTTGCATTTCTGGCGGATGTGCGACGCGAGGAAGGTCTGGTACGAATGGGCGGCTGTCCCCGTTCTACCTGCTAGTGATTCTACCCCTGAGACCGCACTGGTTGGAGGGGCATCGACCATTCACAATATCGGAGGACGTTCATATTGGATAGGCCTCTGATTTGTTATTTAGACACTATATAGTACATTCCTGTAGGCGGCCTCTAAAGGTAGCGGCAAGAAAAGATTATGTAACTATGCTAAATTCTATATACAAGATGCTTTTGCTCTAAATCTGATCACTATGACCACCAATTCAATGTCCCACCAGACGAGCTGACGAATTCGGCTGCCGACTTCAAGGCTGCCTCCAACCGGCCAGTGTTTTCATGCAGCAGACGGGAGTCAGAAACGGACACTTCTCGGTCCATATTTATCATTGAGTGTTCCGTCGTGTCGTCCGTTCCCCTACCTTGAGGAGATCCACTCTCCTCTTCACTTTCTTCACTGCCACTATCTACGGTATCCTCCCCACTAATCTCGTCTGCACTGGTATCTGACTCGTTATCACTTGAGTCAGATTCAGAATCAGATGACCCTCCTGGATGTTCATTCTCCACATGGTTTCCTTTCACCAGACCTCCAAGTTCCGCCAAGGCCTTTTGATATGGCGCGGTAAGGCCTTCCACGTCATCCGAGACTACTTTTAACTTCTCGACTTTCTCACTTCCAGAGCGTTCAACTTTTGCCATCTCTCCCTTAAACCATCTTACTTCTCTATCCTCCAAGATGGTGTAAGCGACTCCCACGCGCCCGGCTCGAGCGGTACGACCGATTCGATGAACGTACGTCTTTACGCGCGTCGGTACATCGTAGTTGACGACGGCTTTGACACTTTCGCCCAAATCCATTCCGCGAGCCATCACATCTGAACAAATTAGTGCGGTGAGCTTTCCATCCCTGAAGGAGGATAGAAGACGCTTTCTTTCAGAAGGCGGAAGATCGGATGAAAAGGCTTGAGCAATTGTGCTCGCGGATTTAGCTTCTTTTACGGCACCTCCTTCAGTGCTCTCATCCTCGCTACTGCTTTCAGGCATCTCGTAGGACGAGGAAAAAAGCTGGAGCAATGCTGCCAGCCGATGCGCTGCTTCAACGGACTTGGTAAAAACTAACGCACCGGTCAGTCCGAGATTGCAGAGCAGGTGTAATAGCATTAGTGGTTTTTCGCCCGCGGAAGTGCACACTATCATTCGTTCACTCAATGTATGCGGAGCAACGAAGCGTGCATCAGTAGTCAATCGCTCAACAACGGTTTCCTGCTGTAAATCGGTTGAGGCTGAACCTGCTGGAGCCACGGCAATATAAACAGGATCATACAAATTGAGAGATGCGATCTTGGCTGGATTCCGCGTTAAAGTGGCGGAAAAAAGTAATTTTTGGAGAGGAGTGTAGTGATGCACGGAAGGAATAGAGGAATGAGCAGCTGAGACCTTGCCGTCAACAATCTGAGACCGACGCCAAGTAGCAGTCTTATGTAAAAGGAATTCATTTTCATCGAGTTGAGGTTCACACGTAGCTGAAGTCGCCTCACCGAATTCGGACACTATCCCATCCGCAAGGTTCCTCTCTGGCTGGGCTACGGCTGCCGCAAGGACATGGGTCAACCAATCCTGATAGCTCTGATTGAGAAGCCTATCGGCTTCATCGATCACCAGATATCTCAGATGCCGTAATGTGAATCCTTTTGTTCCTCGCAAGTGATCCATCAGCCTCCCTGGCGTTGCAACTACGATATCCACTTTGCCTGAGCCATGTTCCTCTGTTGCCACCTCCCAGGCTTCACTGGCTACAAGCTGCTGCTGTTCTAAGGCGAAAGGAGTTTGCCCTGTGATAAGCAGAGCCCGTAAGTCGCTTCCGCGAAGAAGCATATCAAATGTGGCCTTAACTTGCGCCGCAAGATCTCGGGTTGGAAGGACTACGAGCGCACGAAGACGTGGAATTATGCGATCAAGAAGTGCCTCCACAATAGGGAGGGCATACGCCAGCGTCTTTCCCGACCCGGTTGGCGCTGAAACACAGATATCCCCGGGAGGAATGGATGCTGATGAATGGCGAGTTTTGAGCAAGCGAGGGAGGACAGCCATCTGTACAGGGAATAGGTGGGAGATATCTTTTTCGCGGAGCCGGGCTAGAATTCTTGGGGAAAGCCCCCAACGGATATCGGCAACGTCGCTTTCTGATGACTTCGTTATTTGGGCCGGGATGGTAAGGGGGTTAGAAATCCAAGCAGGTAGTCCAGCTGTCTTCGAAGGTTTGGATCGTTTGACTTGTGTCGAAAAGCTAGTGGTTGCATCAGATAGGCCACCGCTAGCTGCTACCCCATCATCCAAAGCAGTGTTCACATTGTTGTCAGAGTTGTGTGGATGGAAGGCCCCTGACAAAGTGGCCACCGCTCCCTGGTTTACCGCTTCCACGTTTTGATTATCAGCGTCGACAAGTCCATGGGCAATTTTCCATTTCAACTCCTTCTCCTTCGCATGCTTCCCCCCACGCTTCTTTTTTCTCGCTTTTGGCTCCCGAAGGTCTAAGCTCGCAGTATCAACCTCGCTTTCCACTGTCTTCTCCCACGGCCGCTTCCGGCTTGTACCTCCCTGTCCTTCCTCTCTAGAACGGAGCTTTGCGTCCATTCCCGACTCTCGGCTGCCGCGGGCCATTCCACGTGAGGTAGAAGCGTCTTTCACATAGTTTCTTCTCCGCAAAGCTGGGTCGTGGTTATCGGCTGTCGCCATGTCTGGACGAAGGACAAATAACTGCAACCATCACAAGCTCGATCAACGTTTTCTGTTCCTATGACTGTGCCAACTCTCCTGCTTTCGTAAGCAGACGCGAATTGGACGCGCTTTTCGGAGTTTTTTCCCAAGCGATAGCTTCCCTGCGATTGAACTGAAACCGTCAACATGTATAGAGCTGATAAAGCATGGCTGGAAACCGCTTGCTATTTGGTAGGCAGCAAGATACTGAATTGACATGCTCTTAAGACGTTTTGGTTTATTCAAGAGTTCTCCGATACAAGAGTTTTGCAATTTCCTCATTTCAGGTTCCGACCCGTCGAGCTTGCGAAAATGCTTTCAGAGGGCTTTCAGATTGCAAGATATTATGCTGCCAATCGTAGTTTACTTGATGAGAGTAGTCTGAATGATAGGACGCAGCGGATACAGAACTCCCGTAATGAACGAAGTGGCACTCCTTTAAGAACGATGGCCCCCGGCGAGAGTCCAACTCGCAGATCGCTGATTGCACCTCGACTATTGCGACGGGATGGAAAGTCAGAAAGGCCTCACTGGAGTGCAGGGGCTACTATACAAGTCGGCTTGTGTCTCGGTACCGTCGCTGACAAGGCATCGATTGTCAATTACCCGAACCTTCCAGGACCAAAAACCTGCGGAAGCAACGTCGTAAACGGTACTAACAAGTCTAAAAGAGACATGAGTCCTATCTATATGTTGCAAGAATGTAAATGGACTGCAACATCCAGCGATTCTTCTTCGGGATCGGGAAGGGTTGTACAGCTCCCCGCAACACCACAGCGGATAACACCTAAAGAAGATCCAAGAGATACAATATTGGAAGTCAGCCATGGAGGGGATTTGAGTGAAATCTCGGAAAGCTGTGATTTCCGTCTCCATTTGATAGAGGCATGTCACAAATGTTTTTCTGACCGAGACAAGTGGGTCCGTCTTGCTGGGGATGCGCCAGAACTGTATCCACCTTCTGGATGGGATTCTTCAAGAAAAGAATGTATTATTTATGCCCTTCCGGCTGCAGTTGCATATATGTCGGGGACAATCAAACACATTGACTGCTCTGCTAGTAGGTAGCTGCTATTCGATCAGATGCCGTCACAGACCTGTTGTAATCTCTCTTTGATAGAATCATTTAAGGAGCATCTCGAAGGAGTCATTAGATTCCCAACAACAACTACGGCGGTAATGGCAGAAGTGGTAGCATACATGTACTGGTTGTGGTGCAAATCTCATCAGCCAAGTCTGTTTGCCGATCTCACCGCAAGATATACGCGGAAGTTTGCGACTTTGGCAGTTCGACCGGCAGCATATCGGCCACAAACCTTGTTGCTTTTTGAGATCATGGAGGCCTCTGTCTACCTGGACTTACCTGGGCTCGTGGATATGTGTGCTGTTAATGCAGCGACGCATTTTGATAGTAAGTGCATGGATGGCCTGAACGATTGTTAAATAGATTATTTAGCGAGTTACTCTCGCAAGTCTAGGTATTACTTCTTTTGGTGGTCTACCAAAACCCCTAATACGAAACGTACTCAAGCGTCTCAGTATTGGAGACTTGTGCATAAGCGAGTATGAGCTAGTTGATCCATGCGAACACCCGCTGCGGGGAGCGGAATGCAACTCAAACGGGCGAATATCTCTCGATACAACGTCAATCTGGATCCGAAATTTCCTGAAAATACAAGCGACGCGTCCTTGCGATGAGCAGGACAGCTATACCAAACTGTTGAATTGGTCAGAAGCAGGTCATTTACGAGAAAGTCTTCGCCAAATATGCGTCAAGTTCTATATTGACGAATGCCTGCGTCGCGAGCTCCCACCATCTGCTGAGTCAAAGCTATTGCAAGTGATGCAAATGGAGGCGACACACTTGAATCAGATCAGCTTGACTGTAAATTCTTCAACGGGCAATCGTTCGCTCAGCCTTTGGGCTACTGCTGTTCAGAAACTTCCAGATCTAAAAGCCATTCATGTAACTGTAGAGGACCCAGCTCCTGCTATCTTGGAGCCGCTTCTGCAAGCACTTGTCGTGCCAGGACGAGCGCTACGGCTGGAATTCCCATGTTCAGATGCCGTCAAGATCCAAGATGTTGCACGTCTTGTTACTGTACCAGGTATTACCTCTTCGTCGCAAGAGACCGTGCATAAAAATGGGGTGCGGACTCCTGCTCTACGTGCCAGCGCTGGCTGGCAACCGGTGTTCCCTTTACCTGGTGCGTTTCTTGACAGTAAAGTAAGCCATCGAGTCAATATTGGAAACGATGAGGGCGCAAAAATGGCTATTGTATCGTCCCCACGTGGTTCGCCGTGGAGACAGATAGGACCAGCTCTGTTGCAATCCTCCCGTATGCTCCCTCTCACCGATTTGGATCTCTCAAAACAGCCATTAGGGCTCAATGAGGCCGAAATGCTAGGGCATACTTTGGAAACGTGCACAACATTACTACATCGGCTACGGCTTGCGCATTGTAGTCTTGGGTCAGCGGGTATTATACGGCTCGCGCGTGCTCTTAGTAGTAATCGAACACTACAGTATCTCGATATATCCTGGAATATCGCTTCAGAAGACAAACACGCCTACGAAGCAGCCCGAGCCTTGGGACAGTCACTAGAACTCCCAAGCTGTGCGCTTACGGAGATAGTGCTCTCAGGAAATCACTTCACTACCCTAGGGGTGGTCGCTCTGATCGATGTTCTTAAGGGGAACCGCCGGATTCTGGACTTCAATTTCTCCCAGATTGACTTGAACGCATCATTGGTCTACTTGGCAAAAGCCCTATTGTTGGGAACAAACAGAACTGTGAATCGTGTGGATGTCTCCTCTAGCAAACTCTTACCGAGGCGGATCGCCGAATTCTGTGAAATATTGACGGACGGTCTAAAGAATGCCACATTGATGGTGATGGAGCTCAACATGAGCGGCATATTGTTTAACGAGTCCATAGCACACTCGTTGGGCTCCCTTTTCCAATGTCCAAGTTTCCAATGTTCGCAGCTGATATTGGAAGGCGCAGACACAGGTCATGTTTTAAGAGATCGTGGTTGCTTGGCCCTTTTAAAGACATTGCGGCGAAATACCAGTTTAAGGCACTTGAACCTTTCACGACAAGCACTTGGCGATGATAGTTGCAAAGGGTTCGCGCAACTATTGATTGACACACACATTACCGAATTGACACTAAGAGATAATTTCATCGGCGATGGAGGCGTACATGACCTTCAAAAAGGGTTATCAAAGGTCAGGGAGCGCGGAGACAGGCGGCCAGTACGCATCAATCTCGATCAAAATATTATCTCTCGCGAGCTCACGGGCCAGCTAGAGGAAATTTTACCAAAACGGCTCCCACATGTCATATTTGCGCTCAACCAGAGGGATATTAATAGATAGGACCGAAAAGTTTTGGAGGAATGATTTGCTTGTAAAACTCGTTCAATAAGCGAAATACCAACGCCTTTCTCCTTGTCCGAACTCTCTCAGAAACAAAAATACTTAATTTTTTATGTACATGGCAGCCACAGGAAGCACTAGGAAATTTTGTCTCCCAAATTATATCAGCAAATCATATCCACGTCAGTACTTTAATGATCGTACTTCCTCCTCGGTGGCATAAACTTTGGCCTACGTACTTGGCGTTAAGCGCGAAGCACACTAGTTATTTGAAAACACAGAAGCGCACCTTAAGACCATGCAGTTCCGATGAAATCTTTCCTACTCTTTCACCAGTTTCCTTTGCTATCGAGATATGAGAAGATTGCGACGATGGCTTTATATCTCTGAATAGCTTTGGAACTTACCTAGATTGAGCAATACAAGCTCCTTATCTTCCAGAGGGGCATATTTGAGTATACTCCGCTCTAGGACTTTCAGCTGTTTCCGTAGAATTAAAATATCATTTGTAAAACCTTCAATTTCATAATCGCGGCGCCTCTTGAGAGCAGTGTAACTAAAATTGTAGCCCAACGAAAGTCAATTGAGAATAGATAACTGGACAGGGACGAGACCACAACAGACCTGGAAGTAATTGCAGACAGGCGACTTTGAAGATATTCGACCTTCTTTTTAAAGGTTCTCTCGATTTCATCACATTTAGACTAGATGGAAACGAGATGGTTAGTTAGTTCAGGTCATATGCCAGTGCAAGACTCTGCATTACCTTGGCAGTGTGAAGTTCCTTCTCATACTTTCCTAATTGCGAGCGAAGATCTCCAACTAAAGTTTCCTGCTTCTTTGTTACTCTTGATTCAATAGTCTAGTGAACGGTAAGAACTGTGTTCGTCTTGAATAAGTTTTCTCAATCAACCCACTCTTTCAGCGGACTCTGCTTTATCCCTCTCAACTGCCAGCTGACTACCAGTAGAACGTAGGTCCTCTAGCAAGGCGGCCTTCTCTTCCACTAGTTTCTTCTCGTAGGCATGGGAAGCCTTCTTTGTGTGAAGTAACTCTGATAGATCGGAATGAGAACATGAATACCGCGATGGATGGGGCTCGACCTCGAGTTTTACCTCGAATGTTCTCGCGACATAACGCCCGTAACTTTTGAAGCTTCTCCAGTAGCTCACTTATCCTTTGTGACTCATGCTCCCTCCGTGCCTTTTCTTCATCTATTTGCGTTTGTCGATCACGCTTCAACGCAGCTACTGTGGCCTCATATGCTCGGCCCTTAAAATTTGGAATCAACAAACAGGCCGTCGCATCAATAGGCTGTGTGTAAGGATACTCACCTGTTCTTCGAGCTGTGTTCGCAAAGATGTCACTGTCAGCTTCAAAGCCTCAATCTCATCCTCCATTATAATCATGTCTCGCTGGTCCAGGTTTCCCACGCCGATCTTCATCAACAGGATCGCAACATGAGATATCTGCGGCTATGAGAGAATACGCTTGAACGTACTCCTTCTCCTTTATCCCTTCCTTCCACTGGCTTCTCTTTTCCTCTCGAGATCTTCACCAGTCGTTTGTCAAGCTTCTCACGAAAGTATGTTGTTTCCGGTTCAGGACATGGAGCTATTTTCAAGAGATAGCGGATCTTTTTCCGATCCTTCAGCTCCTGCACTGAACGAGCTGTTAGCTGTGCTCCACATAGTTGCGTCAGCTCAACCTCCACAACGAAATACTTGCCCTTCAGTTCGTCATTCTCAGCTAGCAATTTTAGGAAGGCACGCTTCTCGTCAAACAGGGCAAGCTCGGCATCCCTGAGTGCCTTTTGGAGACTAGCAACTTCTTCTGCCTTTTTGTGTGCCTCCCACGTCACACGGTGCGCGTCGTCATGCGGAATCCGTAACGCATCTATTTTATCTAGTGCTTCCTTGTAGTCATGCTCGCATCTTTCTGCCGCGCTTGCTATCAGTATAGCCAAAATGAAAAACGCCAAAGATCGCAGAATGTACCTAGTCGTTCTCGATAATAGTTTAGCAGATCTTGGGATAGCGGAAGGTTGCGCACGTCGTGGTTCATCACTGACCGAACGCTGGTAATGATCTTCAAACTGTATACGCGAGCAGTAGGGATAAGCCACCCTGCGCCTGGACGCGCTGATGTGGTGAAATGGTAAGCAAGTCCGAATGTTAGCGCAATTTACAACGTTGTTAACATCATTAGCTTTGACAAATTGAGAAAGACAAGATCTTTTAACTATCTATAAGCATTTTCTTCTCTTGGAAAAACTGCAGCTTTCCTTTTCTAAGCCATAGCGGCCTTCTCGCTAGCTAGCGCAAGTCTGAAAATGAAAAGATTAAAACTTTGACGGTGAGTAACAGCCAAGCACATGAGTATCATACCGTCGAATGTTGCCGATCGTCCCCGCAGCGGCCTCCTGCAACCCTGGATCTGGTGATCCGACCATCCCCAACAAAAGCTGGACTACCCCGTGTTCATGCATTGTAATACAATTATCCGCTAATCGAATCATGCGTGTAAATACCGAAACCGCCGCGGGAAGAAAATTAACAAGTACTTACGATCCATAGAAAGCTGGTGTAATGCGCGAGCGGTTGATCTGTGAACTTCTTCATCGGGCGATCGTAGATATTTCACCAGTGGGGCAACCGCTCCGGCTGCTCCAAATGACACCCGGTTATTTCCCCAATGGCAGCATCGTGCTACGGCTTCCGAAAGATGTCGCCGCAGTTTGTCATTGCGTGTATTGGTAAGTTTAGCGAGCATGGGTACAACTCCGTGATCGGTAATTACAGCCAAATTTTCCTCTATATCCAAAGAGACTGCTCAGTTTGCCGTGCTGTAAAATGGTAAAGGACTACCCACTCACCGTCTTTCGCGATATTTGCTATTGCAGCGCAAACCGAGGCCAAAACCTCAGTGTTATCGGATTTGAGGAGCGAGACAATGAGTTCCAGTCCACCCACAAACGAACGGACCATTTCTCCGGCATCCTTCGCTAGAAAAGAAGGTAATATCATTTTGAGCATTGAAAAATGCAAATGAGCTGTACTCTATCAGCTGTACCGTGTTCAATGCAAGGACAGATGGCCCATGCTGCAGAGGCCTGGACTTGAGGATTCGTGGACTTGAGTAAAGACCATAGCAGACGTACTCCGTCTAGTCGATCAATTATGGCCATGCTGTCGGCTAGATAGAGTCTCTATGGGTCAGCCAGTATCAATGAAGAAAGTGTAAGCGACTTGGTGGCGAACATACTATCGAGAGCACAGGCGCCCACTGCCGTTGTCACATTAACAAGAAGAGCTTGATTCGTTCCCGTTAGCAGGTTTACCAACGGAGTAATCCCGTTGCATTCTCTGATGGCCTGCCTGCCGTCAGCTACAGCCGAACAAGTGAGCTCGCTTTTCCAATGTGTTAAAGAAACCCGGGCGCTGTTTACCAGTCTGGGCGCAAGCTCCAAGAGCTCCTACAGCATTCACTAGAACGTCCTCCGGTTGGTTTTCCATCAGTCCGACCAGCTTCTTGATTGTGTTCAGTTTGTTAAACGCAGCAACATTCTCGACTGATGAGGACGCAAATAAGTTGTTGGACAGATCAGAAAAATATTGTGATCCACTTACGGTTTTGTGCGCACTTCCAGACTGCCCCGGTTGCCGCAGCAAGAAGCTCTTTGTTCATGGTGTTGTCCAGCAGATTTACTAGATGCGTAAGTCCGTTGTACTGGCGGACAAGCGTCCGAATTTCGTCTAAATGCGCAAGGGTTGATGTTCATCTACGGCACAATACTGCAATGGAATATGTTCGGTGCTTGAGCTTACCTTCTTCGGCACATTTGAAGATGGCGCTGGCACAGTGTGCTTGGAGTTCTTCATTCTTGCTTGCCAGGTTTTCAACTAGGAACTTTACCATTCCCGATCCTCGGATGGCAATCCGATAGTTTTCTAGAGCATATACTTTCTCAGTCGCGTTTTCTTCCCTAGCGGGTCGTACCATAGTACGCATTTAACACCTACCATCGGACGCGCACTCTTGCAAGATTCCAACGACGGGAATCAGCAGCTGTTCATTTTGTGATTCAAGTAGATTCGCAAGTAGTGGAATCGAGCCGGCCGCTTGAATTGCCTCTTTATTTTTTGCTGAGAGCGGAGGATCAGAAATTTAAAACTCTTTGGCAAAGTTCGGAGATTACTAACCACTTTTACTGCAGGTCGCCAGAGCCAAAGCTCCCGCCATCGCAACCTGCTCATCCTCGCTTCCAGGCCGTGCTTTGAGTAAGCGCACCAGTTTTCGAATACCACCATAGCGACGTACGGACCGACGATTTCGCGCTGGGCAGGAGCTAAGAAGATGCAAACATTGTACAGTAAAGCCTAAGTGCTTACCATTCTTCGCGCAATGGGCGATTGTTTCAGCTGCCAGGCACTTTAATTCCTTATCTGAATCACGAAGCAACTCAACCAGAGGTTGCATTCCATCTAGCTCTGCAATGGCCGATCGAATAGCCACTAAGAAGACCAGCGCTTAAGTGTTGCGAGGCTTTCTTAAAAATAGCTCTTAATAGCTACCGTTTTGAGATATATCCCTTAATATTTTCAATGCCCCGATTTTGCATTTTGGATCATCAGTGTCCAGGAGGTTTACCAAAGTTTCCAGCCCGCCCACATCTCTGATGGCTGTTTGATTGAACTCTAATCAAACAAGGTTGAAGGTTGACAATTTATCGATCACCATCAAAATAGAAAATGCCTTCATTACCATTTGTTAGGTCAAAATCCCGGAGAGAGCATATTGCAATTATTGTGGCTGTTTGATTGCCTGCTCGCAAGTATTTCACAAGTTTCTGAATTTGGTAGTACTCAGCAGGTAGCTCGGCTGTGAATGCGTACAAGCATTAGTACCCAGAGACCTGCATATGCCATCAGCTAGCATGTCTTACAAATCTCCTGTCGCTTCTCTTGTATCTCTTCCTCAGAATCGTCTAAACAATGAGGGTCAACTGGCGCTGCTACCTCCTTCTCTCTACATCAGTCTGTCACAGACCTGCTTCGCTATCCGTAAAATCGTCCTCATCTGGCATTGCTCGTGACCGCTGTCCTTTTTTACCATCCTTACTCGCCGAGGAAGTCCTGTTCAATTTTACTTTCCCAGATGTCTTCTTATATCCATGACCATCAACGTTACGATCGGAGTCACCATCCTGGGTGACTCCAAGTGATCTGTCCACTTGAGAGTTAGCAAGGAAAGAGAGCTGCAAGACCACTTGTCTGTACCTCCACTTCAACGATGGCTCAACGGGAACGCGAGTCTTCGCCGTATTTTTCGTTTTTCTATACAGAGCAGCCGACGTTCAGTCAATATTGCGCACCTATTAATGCCTGTTCTGTTAATCTCTTACGTTTTTTTATTCACATATGCACGTCTGCCATTAGCATCGCCCTTCTTCTGTACGGTGTCCGCGCCGTAATCCTGGTCCTCGTCGGTTTCTTCCTAGGGTTGCAAGCGTAAAGTTGGCTATTGAATCACTGCCAGTCAAACCAAGGCTCAAAGTACCGCTTCGTGGGGCTGTGAATGTGGTGCGATCGCAGATTCGGACATAGAAGTAACTGATGCACCTACAACAAGCATGTATGAGCTTCAAGTAGATCTTAGGAAATGTGCTAAACATGCCTGCTTTGGGCAAGCACGAATACTCTTGCTTGTCAATCCGTGCTGCGAAATGCTGTGACTGACTTCGTAGCAGATCAACTAAAGAAGGGTAGACGTCCGAGTCTGCTTCATAATTCAGATGTTCTTGGCCTTTGGGTTCTTATTAATTCCTAGTCGCTCTCGTTTCAAGACAAAATTGGGCTTGCCTTTGTCATCTGCTGAGTACCCTTTGTTCACAAAATAGCCCCTTTTACTTGCAGTAATTATCATTTTTTCCCGGTCAAAAGGTTGGACCTCCAGGTAGCAAATCTCGCCGTAAACCTGGCGCCATGGTGGTGCCTTGTACCCGTTCGCAAATGTGTAATCTAGAGTGCAATTGCAATTGAATAGACAAAGGGGGTTACCTGCTGAGCATTCCACACATACCTGACTCCCAGTCAATTGATATTGCTGGCCGCGCCGGGTCCCTTCCACAGAAGGCCTGAATCATTTGCAGTTCTTCACTGATCTTTTGAACATTCAACGTCTTCTCTCTGACCAGATTTTTCAAAGGAGGCATAGGTAAGAATACGATGATTTCCTCCTTGGTTTATCTTTGATCATCATACTTTTGGAGATCCTGTACCGCTGACTTCATCAGCTGGAGATCGAACGTGTTAAGAATGAGGAGCAACTTATACAGTTTGCTGTACTGATCGCGCTTTCGTGGGTCTTGCTCATTGCTGAAGGCTTCAAATGCATCTACAAGAGCATTGTCCCCACTGACACCAAATATAGTTTTTGCTGGATCTCGATTGGCTGGATAGGAAAAGTGCTTCATTAAGAATTTGAAGGGTCAACGCGGAAGATTCCTAATTACCATACCTTGAATGATTTCTTGTAATTCTCTAAGCTTATGCTCTTCTGCGAGCTGAAGTATTCGATTCAGATATTCGAAGGAGGCAACTCTAGCGATATATACAGTCGATTCCGTGGTTTGGCCTCCACTTTGTTCGAGCTGAAATAATGGCTGTCCGTCGGTTCGAGTCTCTGTAGACGTTATTACAACCTTTCCTCCCCTATAAACCGACGGTGACTGTTAATCAATGTATGGAGACACATCTTTCGGGCTATTCACAGACTTTGGTCCACTAGATTGGACAATCCACTTGTCTCCAGCAGCAGAAAACGCCGCAGGGCGGAGGTTACTTGACCATTGTAGCGGTCTTCGAAATTCGGATCTTGCCTCGCTCGGGTGTGCTCGGCATAGTTGTTCGATCATGCGTATCAGATCAGACAGAAGCGCATGATTTACAATTGATGTTTTCAGTTGGCCAGCGTCATTGTCTTCGATCGTCTGCTTCGACGTCGCCACTGGTTGGTCAATCCACTCGAAACGTGCTGATAGACTCTGTCCCATTGTGCAGCTGTTGGACGGCTGCCCAGCTCACAGATGTGGTACAGTTGAATCCACAATAACTTTACTCCGATCCCGACTGCTTACTTGAGCAGTGTCACGTGGCAATCGCCTTTGTCACGTCCAGTGGATAGACTATACATGTACATCCCAGATGGACGAAGTTACTCGACAAGATGATGTACGAGTGGCACTCCACATCAGCGATGAGCCTGCCATTCTCGACGTAACAGAAAGTGGAGAAATACCAGAACCGTAAGAAGCCGGATATTTTGCCTCCGCAGATGGACACCACAGAACTGATCTGGCTGCCAGGCCAAAGACTGCAGCAGCACGTTTAGAGGAAAATGTCACCCAGATTGACTTCAGCAAAGTTCTATCCACCACTACAGGATGGACAAAGGAGAAATCATTGACTGGAAGAGGGCAGGGTGAAGAAGAGGACACCTCAGAAGCGGTTGTTGCCACTACCACACCCGGTCGCTTAGAGGCCATCAAAGAAAATATTTAGTATGTGGAAGTTGCTCAGCTGGTTCTTAACTTGTTGGAAGAGGATCTGATATATGTGTTGTAATATAGCCTTGCGTGGGCCGAAGTTCAGTTCTCGCTGGATTTGGTGGAAAGGCTGCTGGCAAATGAAAAACGGACTTCACAGGATGCGGACAATTCCTATTTGCGCCTCCTGCCGGCTCCACGTAAACCTGCTCCACCCCCACGACAGCAGATCGATGACCTCCAACTGATTCTTTCAGCAAAATTTCAGGTTAGGGTAACAATTGTTCCAGAGTATGGATCTGGCGTCAATCTGAACCGTGGTACCCCACTGTTAGCATCTCAAGCTGGTCGCCAAAAACTTGCGGGATGCCGGTGAACGCTTGCAGACATCATTGGATCGGGATCAAAGTTTTTATGGTACTTTCACCACCAATCTGCGATCGAAAGATTGGGTTCTACAAGCCAGAAGCGGCTCGGAACGTGGCCTATATGTCGATTATGGCTTTGGACAAGGTGTTACTCACTTTTATTTGCCTGCTTGTCACTCGTTCTCTGACTTTGTATCGTTCCTGATGCAGCCGGATCGGATTACTATCAAGTTGGTCATGCAGAAATATGGCGTAACCTTACGGCACCAGAGAAGAGAAAAAGAGAGGATAATGTGGAGGAGGAGGTCGATCTAATTTTACCACGCGTGAACGCCAAGCGCATGAGAATCACTACTGTGTCGGGCCTGACCCGCATGAGCGACGAGAAATTTCAGCGAAGACAGGATTCTGACTTCTGGTCACATTGGGCGAACGAGAATGGTAAAAGATATGCGTTGGGGAGGCCAGATAAAATCTCGATTAATGTGTGTTGCTATAAAGATCGGAAGGAAAGTGGGCTTTATCGACAGCTTTCCAGGGCTCAAAGCGCCATCTTCGACGCAGAAATTTTTGACCACGTATGTTAAGGCAGTCCAACGTTGTTGAATTCTCTTGGTTATTCATCTCGTTTTCGTATTCCATCCTCAGGTTTCAAGAGAGGCGGCCCGTGAAAGTGCAGCAGAGGTTACACGGATTTTGCCAAACGCAGTTGCTGCATCAGTTGGGGCGACGAGTACCAAGCTGGTAGTGAGCTTAGTCGATGGTGATGAAACTGTGCCAAACCCATGTACTTCAGATGATGCGCAGCAGCCATCTCAGGTCACTTCTATTTCCCAACCCGATGGTGCTCTGTTGGAGCTTGTGGCACAACAAGCACTGAGACGGCAACATCGAACAAATATTCGAAGACAGCGGGAAGCAGCAGGCTGTTATACTGGGGTCGGAAGGGTTCAAAAGTGTGTGCATGCATGACCTATTGATTTGTCAGATATTCTCTGACTGAGATGTGTCAACAGGAACGAGCAGATGTCCGTCCTCGCACGATTAGCGAGAACTACAGAAATTCAGAACATTCGCAGCCAAATATCATTTGCGATGCAGAAAACTATTGGATACGTCAGTGAGCGATGCAACATTTCAGTACGCCGCGAACGCGTTACGTCTGGAGACATAGATACTAAGTGGACCCTGCAAATCTTCGGCCGGTATGGTATTGAGTATGGACGATGGTTCTTTGCCCGTTGTAACCTAAGATGTGGTCCAGGTGGCAAGTACTTTTATTTCTACGCGTCTCTGGTGATATAGTGGCGCAGACATCCATACTCGACATGGCTTCTTCATCGCTACACGTTTCGGAAGTCGAAGATTACCTTCGACAAGAAGTCTGGAGGGCGTGTGTGCACATGGTTGTTCAGGAAGCCAATGCTTTAGGAGTCTCTATTGGTATACCCGGCGGAGTGAAAAAATGGCATGTGGATGACTTGTCAGTCAAGGGCCTAATAAGAACCAGAAACATACCATTGCGGTTCGTTGAAGTATATGAACTTGCTCGGTCCTATTACAAAGCTGACTTCAGCTGCCAGGTGCGTTGTGGACCTCTATGGCACCGACTTGCCTTCATCGTACCTACAGATCCGCATATCAAGTGTCGAAGATGCCTACAAGATTCCGCTACGATCACCAGATGGGCTAGCTCAGAAGTCAGATGTTAAGGATCTTGTGCGACAGATTTTAGTGCGACACATGCAATAGACCGGGATTTACGTCCAGTGCAAATCCCTCCGGTGAACATTTCAACTGTTCAGAGCAATGGCACTATCCTGCGTTCACATTACGTCCCTGCGTCGCTCGTGCTTTCGCCCTTATCGCTGTCATTTCCTTCCTGCGCTATCCTAACACCACCTTCCCCCTCCGCGCTCTCATAATATGGATTCCTGCTGTTTAGAATAGATGTTAACTGCCTGTAAGCTGGGTCATCGACATCGAAAGCATTGTCCTACAGATCTCACCGATGAGTTGCGAATGGCTTTATAAGAATGATGTCTAACTTACTTGCAACGTGAGTCGGAAAAGTCCGATAGGTGCGTCCGGTGTATTTTCCGTCGTTATTTCCTGATCCGTCACAGCGTCAAGGAAGGCTTTAAGTCCCTCTTCGCGTATATTGTTCCGGAAAAGATTCAAATTGTTTAGGGTACGGTTTCCGAGCACAAACCATTGACCGTTGTGTTCAAACATAGGTTCGACTGTTGGGTTCGAGTCTGGCGCCTGATTTGGTTGATTAGGTGACATTACAAGATACTGGTCCATATGGATGGATCTACCTCTTCGACTTCTTCCTTGGTTTCCTCTGCTTTGGATTTCTTGCCAGATTTGGCTGCGACGGCGCCCTTTTTCTCTTTCCCTTTGCTTGCTGCACCCTTTTCTTCGACTACAACAGCACCAGCTGTCGCAGCTTTCTTGGGGCCCGGAGGCTGGGCTGCCACCCCCACCTCGGTGGTTGATTTTTGCTTGCCGATGTTCGGCTGGGTAGCAGTGCCTTTACTTCCACCCGCGGAGCCTCCTTCCTCCTTCTTACCACCTTTGATCGGGCGTTTAGCTTTGAGATCCGCAATGGACTCTTTTTTAATTCCTCCTGCTATGATGCTCTCTTCGCTTTTGACTCTACATATATGGTGGATCCATGCATTAGGGTGGTTGGTTAACTAAGAAAATAAACGATGTGCGTTCTAACTTTGCGGAATTGTTCCGTCCGGTAGCTGCGGTCGGCATGCGTCCTTTTGCTTTTTTGACGATAGGATCCTGAGTGGTTTTATTAGGTAAAGTCAGGACATCTGGAATAGGGGGTTATGGCAACTACCTCCTCTTGATCTTTTCGCTGCTTGTCCATTTCAGCCATCGCTTTTCGTCTTGAGGCCAGCAGCTCATCATGCAGCAACGGGGAGTTCGCCAGAACCTGGTTAAATGTGCGCTCAGGTTACAAAATCCGATTCTACTATATGCCACCATCTTATACCTTCGCGAGCGCAACCGCGCCTTCATCCCCAATATTGTTCAGACCCAGGGATAAAGATGTCAAGCTTTGATTGAGCTTCAATGCCTGTGAATCGTTAATTGAGTTGTCGCTCGTCAATTGCATATATGATGTCCAGCTTCAATCGCACCTCTGCAAGGTTTTCTGCGCCTTCTTTTGTGATTTTGTTGTTCCACAAGTTTAGCGACACTAACACTCGATTGGATTTAAGCTGCTCGGCTAGTCCCTTCAGTCCTGCGTCTCCGATATTATTAGAACGCAAAGACAACGATCGAACGGATGACTCTTCGGTGATGAGATAGGGCCAGAGGTGCTCCGGTATGAGCGGGTTTCGATCTAATGAGAGAACACGGATATTTGCTGAGAGCACCGTCGTAAGCAGCAAGGAGAAATGTGTCTCGTCTAATCCGCAGTTCCAAAGTCTGTAGAGTAACATGCCGTGTTAAGAGGCTGACTCTAGGCAGACAACTGAATCATTGATTCACAAATGGACCCTCCAGCGCCTTTCCGGGGCTTACATTAGGTTTGTTATGGTACCGCATGCAGGTATCACTCCGCTCAAAACTTCGATAATCCCATATGGGAGCTTCCACCCTCGCACTTCTAACTTCTGGGGCTCGTCGTCATCGTCTCCATCTATTGTTTCTAACACGATGGTCGGCGTAAAACGGTAACGCGAGTTATAGGTCATGATTTTAAACTCTGAAAGCTTTCCTTCCTCAGCTTTCCCTGCCGTCATGGTTTCTTCCGTTCGATCTGGGAGAGGTCTCGTCAATACGCCGTCTCCTGATACATCCCCTTCTATAGCGGCGGGTTGTGACTGTCCATCGGAGAGCTTATCTTGGCCACTTGCACCGGAAAGTGGGCGAGGTGTCATAGCAATTGGAAGCGGTGGCAGTGGGTGCCGTATTTTGAGGATGTTAAACGGCTTTGCACCGTTACGACGGCAGGCATCATGATAGTCTGTTTCAAAATTTCCCACATATTCAAGGGCTGGGACATGTAAAAAGGATTGGCAAAAGTGCAAATATAAACAACCAAGGAGTAATTACAAACCTTCAGCACCTTCTTCCAAATCAACAGCCATGGTTTCCTATAGCTTTCGTTGGACTTTGGTTATAATTGAACTTCCATCACAGCACGACGCGCATTACATAAGCAGCTTTGGGACAACTAGTCATCAACGTCACTTCAAATGCTGGAAATGCCGCAAATGACCTGCGTTGAAAATGGCTTCTGTCGTCCAGAGAAGATTCCCGTCACTTAATGCTTTCCATTTTGAAAAGGAATGGTCCGTAGTATGGTGACTGATGTTCGGTCCTTAGGAAGGCCAGTGCGATTCGGTTAAACAAATCCGATGTGGCATGGCGACTGCAATACCGTTCTGTTATGTCGTCCATCAGCTGCTAGATTAGGAACCAATGGAGTTGCTGAACATGCGGATAAAATTGAAGCAGGCCTAACTCATATGGGCAATAGAATGGCTTCTGCTGGTCGAAGGATCAAACTGAACTCGTGATTGTTGCGCTTCTTGGGAACAGGCTCAACCAGAAAACATTCATTTTTGTAGACAAACGTCAATGCCTCCAGGGAATCAACCGGTGACAACTGGCTCGGATAAACTGGTCTGAGTTGCAGTAGGGACGACTCTACGAAACACATGCAGTCTTACACATGTGGTCTTACATGTGTTCAATAGCGTCGCCCCAACTGCTTCATTCCCTCGAGGAATTGACGTTTGTCTTCAAGATGCACACTCCAGTTGCCGTCCAAGAATACGACCAAGATCTGGTTCAGTAATGACGCGGGACAGAGACCGGCAGATATGGCGAATTCTCGCTGCTACAACTGGCACTGATTGTAGGGGATAGAATTTCACATGGCATTGTTTGTAAATTAGCCCAAGACATTTGGAATTTGGTCTGCTATGAAAGATGAGGAGTTTGGGAGGCAAGAAAGGAGCGCGTCTCGTAACGCGTCAGATACAAAAGATGCCCACTCCTGCCAAAAAGCCTGCCACTGCATGACCTGTTTTGACACCCAAAAAATCGTGTTTACGTTGCTTTTATTGGTAAAAGACGACAATACGATATGCGTATCCATTTAACATACGATAATGGAGAAGTTCATAACGTGGACGTGGATGGCAGTATGGAGGTGCGGAGCTTTGTCTCTCAAGGGGTGCATTGCCCCATCTCGTTATCATCATGACATTCTAATGGGACGGATGCTTTTTGTTGGAATGTATTTTTGCAGTTGGAAAACCTTATGGCAATAGTAGAGGCCGAGATGAACATTCCCGCAGGGCAGCAAGTGCTGCTGCACAACGGCGTAGAGCTGACTGAGAAGAGCAAGTCAATTACCGCGTCGGGTATTCGTCCAGATGATATTCTGCTTGTGCGGCGTAGAAGTCCGGCAGGGAGGTACGGTGTACCTCCGTGTACGAAAGGAAGAGAACACTCTTGTCCAACCGATTCGCTTTTTTAGCAACATAACGCGCACGCCGGAAAGTATTGCAGAAACCGTGCGACAGCAGATTTTGGCAGATCCGTGGATGCTGCAGCAACTCTCAAGTGTGAGTGCGTACATCGCTGCTCTGATCACGAAGATGGGTTGTTGAAACGTTGTCATCGATAGCAACAACCAGAACTGGCCAATGCTGCCATGAACGATCCTGCAACTTTTCAGCGCATGTATCTGGAATTAGAATCACGGAGGAGAGAGCTTGAGGAAAGACAAAGACAGCAAATGGTATTCATTGTCTCGCGGTTGTGGAAGGTTTGGAACCTCTAGCCGCTGATTATGGGTCAATTAGGCTGCCTTGGACAGTGCAGATCCTTTTGATATTGACGCTCAGAGGCGCATTGAGGAGGAAATTCGGAAACAAAATATCGCACAGAATCTGGAGGTGAGTGTCGCGTACTGACTATGAAGCAATGATACATCAACCGCTTATCCACCCCCACAAACCTTAGAATGCTATGGAATATCATCCTGAGTCGTTCGGCCGGGTAGGTATCTATACCCTGCAAGCTAAGCACGCAGCTTTTTGCGTCCATCCTTGCGTAAATGAAAATAACTATTGGTATGCACCCAGGTGGTTATGCTTTATATAGATACCGAGGTGAACGGTCACAAAGTGAAAGCATTTGTAGATTCCGGCGCTCAGGCAACAATCATGAGCCCAGCGTTGGCGGAAGCCTGCAATATTATGCATCTCCTGGATGAACGATTTGCGGGAATTGCCCAGGGAGTGGGTACAGCGAAAATTTTGGGGAGGGTTCATAGCGCCCAGATGAAGATAGGAAGCCAGTTTTTACCTTGCTCTTTCACGATTATGGAGGTACAATCGTGAAGTACTGGGCCTACGATGCACCCCTTAGACGAAAAGCTAATTGAGTCTGTGCCCTTCCTTAGGGCAAAGGAGTTGATCTGCTCTTTGGATTAGATATGCTGAAACGACATCAGGTTAAGAGTCTTTAGTCTTTCCCTGCATTCCTGTCGATTGTGACGAACGGCCCACTGATTGATCCGTGATTCCTCTATCAGGCTATTATTGATCTGGAGAAGAATGTTTTACGAATTCACGGTGAGGAAGTGCGCTTCCTGTCAGAGCACGAATTGCCGGACAAGGCGCGGTGGGAGGCAACTGGAAGTGGAGATGTACAGTCCCCAGTCGAAGGGGGCTCCGCAGCACAAGGTAACGTGTATGATCCCAGAGTTGCTGGTAATGAACGATCACTCAGTCCTCGATTAGGCGCGGTTCACCCTCCGGGGGGCTTGCATCCTCACATTCCTCCAGCCGGCATAGCTGCATCTGTGCCAGGACCTGGAGCTGCACAGGCAGGACGTTTAGGTGCGCCGACAGGTGCTCCCACGTCCACAACGGCTGGTGCTGTTCCACGGCATTCTGAGGAAAAGATAAAAATGCTCGAGGATCTTGGGGTATCCAGGGCGGAGGCCATAGCGGCATTGGATGCAAGTGGCGGTAATGCCGATGCTGCAGCCAGTATGCTGTTCCAGTAGCAAGCAGATAGGTAGCCCAAAGCGTTGTAGTTGAGCAAGGTTCAAACATTTGACTTGATGTCGGTTGTGGGTCTGAAAGAGCCTATAGATAGAGGGCAAAAGGCAGTAATGGTCAAAGAAATGTTGCATAAAACCGACCCTGAATACAACAATCTGCACCGAACTGAAGCCGCATGCTATTAAGCAATGAACAAAAAACGGTCTCATAAATCCTGAACAATCTTCGAACAAGCACAACTATATACAAGCGAATCTCTGCATAATGACACTACAGGCTCCACTACAATCACATCCATCCATCCCGTTCAGTCCAGAAATCTTTCCAAATTCAAGGTTAAAACTTTACTGCTGTTTATGCCCTGATCTCGGTAAACCCCAACAAGAGCTTCAGCTCTTTCATAGAAAGTATGCTTCAGTGAAATAACAATAAACTGAAACGAGTTGGAGGCGACTCGTCGAATATAATTGGCAACTTTGGCGACATTCGCGTTGTCCAAGGCGGCATCGACTTCATCCAGGACGAAAAACGGCGCAGGTTGATAGCTGTGGATAGCAAAGAGCAGTGCCAGGGCTGCCACAGTTTTTTCGCCACCAGACAGCAGCTCCATATCTCTGAACCGCTTCATGGGAGGCATCGCATGGTATTTGACTCCGTCGTTGTAGGGCTCCTATGAAAATGACATGTTCAGAGACAACCCTCACTCCGTCTGCTGAGGAGCAGTGGAAAAAGTAACCCTACCTCACTGTCCTCCAAGCTTAAGTACGCAGTGCCACCCATTGGGAATGTCTTGGATTTGGTGAGTTCCTTATATATTGGATCAATCTTCTCAGCAATATGTGTATACGCCCGGTAGAAACGATCGTAACTGGGGGTAGGAGCGATGGAATGAGTGAATATCATCTCCAAAACGGCAATAAGGCTACTCACCGCTCTTGTTTAATCTTCATGAACGCATCCTTAGCTGACTTAGCCTCTCTTCGAGCAGCATCAAATTCTCTTGCAGTCTCCTTCAACTTGTGCTCAACCTCATCCAATCTTCGGACCCGCCAACGCGGTTAGCACCGGCAAATGCAAAAGCACAAGCTAGTGTCCACACCTGTCAACCGCCCTCATATTCGGAGCCATTCTCTCAATCTCAGTCGTGAGGTTCCTCAGCGTCTCTTGGAACTCCACTTCCATTTCGTCCGAACCATTCTGTGACAATTTGTTAGATTGCGGTATTCTCTCATATCGCATGGGTCGACTCACCTGCTTATGAGCAGGTTTCAAATTGCTAAAGTCCACTTGAAACCCTTGCACTCGAGCAGAGAAACTTAGAGTCTGTGAATCGATCTCCATCGAATCGGCTCCCCCTATCTGGGGTTAGCGGTGGAAAAGAAGCGGTTGGTCGTCCATTCTGTCACATCTAATGCAATGCTTGCTTCCTGATACCTCCAATTGATCCAAGGAGAGATCGTCCAAAGATCCCTCCAAGAAAGGCAATTTGATCTCCTCTAGTTTACATTTTCGGAAAATCGAGAATTTATCAGCAGATAATTTCTCAATTTCTGATTCCTAAGGGCAAATTTGAATAAAATGCATGAAGCCGGGCTTCAACACGAGCACAGTTCGGAGAAGATAACACTCACCTTCGCTGCCATAGACTTCGAGCTTCCCTCAACCTCTTTCTGTAATTTCTGTATTTGTTTTTTAACCTTCGATACTGCCGTCCCTTTCTCCTCCATCAGTTGCTTTACAGAATCAAGCTGTTCACTGGCTTCTTCGATCTCATTGGCAAGAGTTGCCTTCTCTGCTTCGCGGGCAGTCCTTTCTTGCTCCAGCTGAGCAATGCTCTCTCTATCGCTGACCATAATGGATTCCATTTTATGGATTCGCTCTTCAGTACTTTTCGCTTTGCTTCTTTCAAATTCCAGCCTGTAGAATGGTTTAGTTGTTGAAGTATAGGGACTGCAACCCTGTCATGGCGCTTACTGGTTCTCCAGTTTAGCCTTTTGTGTTTCGAACTGCATTCGCTTTTCGGATACTTCTTGGGTCAACTTGAGTTGTCGTTCTTCATATTCCCGGATGCTCGAAACTTCAATCGTTCGGCAAAACTCGGCGAAGACTT